CACTGACCCACACCCTGATGCTGCTGAGTTATCGGGGCCGGCTGCTGCTGTAAACGAGGTTACGTTCATCTGTAGAGAGACTTCAGTCAGGGACGCCAGCGCCAAGCACGTAGCACAGGGCACCTCCCCAGGGAGGAGCGTCCTCCACCCAGAAAGGAGGGCCTTGCTGGCCACGGGCAGAAGGGCATCCCCTCCCTCACATAGACGGATGGCCCTGCAGCTCCAAGTATGTATTTCCCAGGGAGGTGGTGCTACAAGAGCCGCTCTCATGGCCGTGTGTGGACCCAGGCGTGCACTTCCATCCCCTTACGCTGTGTCCGGTGAGCCTGGCCCCGCGCCTGCCAGCACATTGCAGCGTCTGGGGACCCCGGGTCACCATTCTGGCTCGTCTGTGCTTGGTTTGCCTCTTGGCGGCTTTGACACTCGGCACAGGGCCTCCTTCAGTTCTCAGAGATGGCTTCTGTGGGGGGGCGTGACCGCTGTGCCCATGTCACAGGGCCACGTGAATGTCTGTGCACGTAGACCCTGAATGTCTCCACGGTGCCCGTAAGGATTCGGGGCTCAGGCTAACGTCGGTGACACTATGATAGTGCCCCATGTACTTGGGTGTGCGTGTCACCCCATGACAACGTGCCCTGTGGAAATGCTGTAGTCACCCCAGTGTTAGCAGAGGAAAGTGCCGTTGCCTGACACTCAACCCCTTTGCTCCCCGGGGTTCCTGAGTTGACGGTTTCTGAAGGTGGCGGTTGCTTCCATCTGATGGGAACAGGGAAGGACCTTTGTTGCCCCACCTGCAGGAGGCCACAGGGAGGGGCGGTGGCACTAACGCCGTGGAGGTGTGGTGGCCACGTCCCCATTGTATACTGAGAATGGAAATCATCCCAAATGCGCGTGGCTGCGTGACTGCTTTTATTTCACGTGGATGCATATTCGAGCGTGGCCGGTAAGAGCAAACTGTGGGCATGTTAGTTGAGACTTACACCTACCTCTTCAGGTGTCACACAGCACCATTACCTGAGGGTCATCTAACACCTCACGGAGGCAGGACTGGCACGGCCAGGGAACAGGTCCCGTTGAAGCCATTGGCCATCAGGAACATTCCTCCTGAGTCCGAGGCCAGTGCACACCTTCCATCTTCCATCTCCTCACTTAGGTCTTTCTACCGCAGGGCTGGCCACACACAGCTGGTCCCTGCCTGCCTTCTGTGTGTCTGTGCAGAGACCTTTCCTACAGTCCTGAGAATCTCCAGGATTGCTCTTCCATGCAGTCAGCCCCCTGTGTCATCTGGGCATTGAACCTGGGGGAACAGGCGGCTCAAGCTCTGTCAGCCATTGTTCACGTACTATGTTTCGTTGTGAAACCACATCTGTTTTGAAATTTCTGGAAATTCTTATTGGGGTCATGTTTTCACTTCTTCATCTAGGTTAGTCTACTTGGACTTTTTGTTTCCTAGGAAGGTGTTAATGGAGAGAAAGATAAGCTGACTTAGTTAATAATCACTCAAACGCAAACCGTAACAACAGAGAGGAATGGCATTTCACCATCAAAGCGGGACCAGTTTAAGGGTTGATTGGGCACGAGTGTGCAGAAGTGGCTGCTGGGAGGCCGCCTTCCCCGTGGCCACGAGCACAGGTATGGAGACCAGTCTGCGCTCGACGCCGGGGTCCACCCCGCAGCTGTGCCCCAGATGCCGTCGCCTCACGCCGCCTCTTCTTGCCTGTAAGTGGGGACGGCAGGTGTGCCTGTCTCAGAGCCGCTGTAAGGGCACTTCACGTGCATGAAATGCTTCCAATAAAAGCATAAAACTGCACCCTACGCATGTCTGGTAAATCGGAAAACAATACTTAGAGCGGAAGTACAAAATGATACACTCTTTTGGGAAGTTATGTAGGCTTCATTAAAATTTTAAACATACTTTTTGATTTTTCAGTTCTTTTTCTAGGTATGTGTTTTACAGCCGTATTTCATATTAAGACTGGTCAGGTCATTGGCACACGCAGGATTTACAGTGTGTCTGTCACACCCACGCTCACAGGAAGATCCGCAAGATCTGTTTGGTGGAAAAGCAAGTTGCAAGAGAACATACTTATTGTGTGTCTGCTTTCTGTGAATGTGGATGTATTCGTGCACGCATGTATTTTGTGTAAATACATGATGAAGAGTCCAGAGGGTCGTCAGTGGAGGCTGTCGGTGAGGCAGAAGTGGGGTGTGGTCAGGCAGGCGCTTTTGTCTTGGCTGTGACTTGTTGTGCGGCGGGCAGCTTGTCCACATGAAGGGCTTGCTCCTGTGTTACTAGTATTATTTGCTGTAAAGTTTCCTCGAAAGACGAGTGTGTAGCAAAGTAAAAAGCGCCCAGTCTTTGAAGCCAGAAGCAGGAAGGGCGTCCATATCTGGGACGGTGGGCCTGTAACCCACCAAGCCCCACAGGGATGCAGATCCGAAGTGACGGCCCGAGCCTCTGCTTCTGGTCTGTATGGTAGAGGACAGTGGGGCCACGCAGGGCTGTACCGAGTGAGCCTGGGTGTGCAGGGGCCTCGGGACATTAGGGCGCACACCGGTGTCAGCTAAGATTTCGTTCATTATCAAGGGACTTTTAATATATAATATGTATATGTATGTGTGAATAATACATACATATATTTATGTATTAAATATAAATACATAGCTATAGATCAAAGTAAAACCTGGGTGGTGTCGTTGGCTCACATTTAAGTGAGTACACCCAGGTTCCGCAGTTGGGTGTTATACCCACGGTTGAAGGTTTCCTGAAGCAAACGCAGCTCGTGTGCCTCAGTGAGTCTTGTTTCTAGGAAAGCAGGTCTCATGACTAAGACAGTAGCGCTTGTATCCGTCCGTGATGAAGAGCTTCTCCCTCCCGGCACGTGGCCACGGCCTGTCCCGATCCCAGCGTTGCTGTCCTGAGTGCCTCAGCCCAGGTGGCCTGACACAAGGGAGGCTGCTCTCCCAGAGTTCTGGGGTCAAGGTGTCGGAAGGGCTGGGTGCTCCAGGGGCGCTGGGCATCTGCTCCAGGCCCTCCCGCTGTGGACGGCGCCCTGTCCTTGGAGCCTGGCCACTGTCGTCACGTGCCATCTAGGTCTCCTTCTCTCCTAACGACACCGACCATTGCCTTTGGGGCCTGCCCCAGCTCCAGTGTGGCCTCACCTTAACTATGACATCTGCAAAGACTCTCTTTCATGTCAGTACGGTCACAGTCAAGGTACCTGGACCAGGACTGGTCACAGCTTTTGGGGACACAGCTCCTTCCACAGGAGGCACTTGGCGTTCTGATTTGTGACTCTCACGTGGTGTTTTGCCGAGGACAGTAGTGGGGCCAGAGATCCGTGACACCGGAGGGCTCCTGTGGGACTCTTCTCTGTCACTTTGCAGAGCAATGTAAGGCCAGTGTTTGGGGCTCATTTCCAGGCAGTTCTCGATGGACCTTATCACTTGGGCAGACTTTTCTTCAATGTCTGGTTAGTGCTAACCTTTTGGATGCTTCACAGACAGAACCATTCAATTTCCAGACTCTCTTAGGCTTCCTTTTTTTAAATTTTTTATTTTTTTTTACTTGAGGTATAATTGATCTATGATATATACTTCTTTTTATAATATCTTAGTTGCAAGATTCAAATGAGTTCTTTTGCACATTATTTTTTTACGAGAGAGTGCAAGTAGGGGAGCAACAGGGCGGGGGGTGGGGTGTGTGGAGAGAATCCCAAGGAGGCTCCGTGCTCAGTGCAGAGCCTAACACAGGGCTTGATCCCACAAACCATGAGATCATGACTTGAGCTGAAATCAAGAATCAGATGCTCAACTGCCTCAGCCACCCAGACACCCCTCCTTTTACACATTTTAACTTCTGTGTTTCCCCACTTATATTTCTAGGTTTGTTATAAATCTTGATAATATTTTCTTGATAATTTTGATGTATTTCTTGATATATTGATAAATTTAAGGTTTATCCATTTTTAAGCTAAACACAAACTTCTGTTTATTGTCCAACTTTTAGATCCTAAGAGGATGCTACCCATGTGTATATAGAAAATTAGAGAAGCAAGTGTGGTATTTACGTAAATTGTGCCTCACTTAGCCCACGTGGAAGATTCTTTAGTTACAGGGATAAAATCCATGTTCTTGGAAATACTTTGTTGAGTAATTAGTCAGCAGACATTTATTACTGCACACGCTCCAGGGGTGAGGCTACGCATGAACAGAAGGGAGCCCTCGGAGCGGAGACTCTGATGGAGGAGGCCCGCTGTGGGTAGTCCGTTGGCATCTGCTGTTTCTATCTTACGGGGTGATGAGTACTTGCATATTTGAGCTGCCAGAGGGATGTCTGCTCTAAGAACATTCCGGATGGAGCCAGGGACAAGTGCAGAAGCCCCAGAAGGGTGGGCTGCGTACTGGATAAAGGGCCCGGGGCTGGCACGGAGCGAGCAGGGGCGGTGCCCTCGGGCCACGGGCCACGGAGAAGACGGGCTGAGGATGCATGAAAGCATTTCACCAAGTGCCTCCTGTGAAGACAGACTTCCCTGAGCTTGTCATGCAGAACGGCATGGCCTGTCATTTCAGATTCCTGCACAGCGAGCATCTGCCTGGTGCACGTCTGAACTTGAGCTCAGGCCACCCCGCCTCCCTTGTCCTGCTCCCTGCCATCATTCGTGTTCTTGGAGACATTGTGCTCCCTTGCTAGCCACTTTTAAAACTGGAAAATCTGACCTGCGGAGACAGGGGAAGGAAGGAAGGGGCATTGTGATGTCTTCACACTCCTCAGGTGTTATTAAAATCTTCTGGAAGCCCAGAGACCGAGTCAGTGACACTGACCTCTCTTAAACAGAAAACCACCCCTTGGCATGCCAAGAACACAGGACGGCGTGACATCCAGATGTGCTTCGGGGGTGCTTGGGACCCCAGACGCGGCTGGCTGCCCCTGGGGTGCGTGCCCTCTGGTGATGGAGGCGTGTTTGCTCCTATGTGTTCAGACAGAACTGCTCTTTCAGGCCCACAGATGACAGCAACCAGCCCCCGGGCCGGGGCGTCCTGTCCATGCACGGGCTCACCTACGGCGTCATCCGAGTGGACTCAGAAGAAAAGCTGTCTGTGCTCACCGTGCAAGACGTCGGCCTCGTGATGCCTGGCGGTGAGAGTGGGCACCGGGCTGCGCAGTGTGGGGGGTCGAGTCAGGAGCCCCAGCCATGGCCAGCGGGCTGCTTCCCACCCGGCAGTCCCGGGCCCGTCAGTGCTGCCTCTCCTGATGAAAGAACGTTCAGGAAGCTTCACGGGGCATCTCTGCCGCCTCCCATGCTGGGACCCTGGGGTTCTTTTCCAGGCTTCTCTGCACCCCTGCAGCCCTGAGGGTGCAGAGAAGCCTGGAAAAGACCCTCCCTGCAAGGGTCAGGTTTCTGCGGGCCACCCACCTTTTGGACAAAGCTGGGCACCAAGGCTGGAGGCAGACAGTATAAACACCCAGGCACGGGCTCCGAGCTGTGAGCAAAGCTTGATTCTAGCAGAAGAGCCCGTGTCTAAAAGTCACGGGAACCATTCCCACAAACGTGCACACGAGGTGGGCGGGACGCCGCGCGTGCTGCCTCCTGGGGTGGCAGCCGGGCTCGCGGAGGAGCTGAGGGCACGTGTGGGTGCCTGTGGTGAGCGCAGTGGCCGTGTGCGGGGTCACTCTCCGGCTCCGCCCAGGGGTCTCCTGGTCTAAATGGGAGAAGTCTCTTCCTTCAGGATGGTTTGCAGGTCACAGTTCAAGCCGTCGGAATCTTACTGATGCCACAGCTGTGGGACTGAATGCTTTCCTGTAACGTGAACGTTCACGGCTCACTTCGGGGAAGACCAGGACCGGCTTCCCTTGTACATTCACACGCCTGTTCCAGAAGCTGTTTCCGCTCGCCGTGCTCTCCCTTGTGTTCAGTCGCTGCTTCTCTGATCCCCCCGCCCCGTCTCCCTCTCTGTCTCTCCCCACCCTGTCCCGCTGTCTCGCCCTCTGTCTCTGTTCCCCCATCCCTCTCCCTCCCCTCTAATGCTGCCCACGCATCCCGTTTTGCTTCTAGCCATCATGTGTTCGGTGAAGCCGGATGGCGTCCCTCAGCTGTGTCGAACAGATGAGATCGGGGAGCTCTGTGTGTGCGCCATCGCCACGGGCACGTCCTACTACGGCCTCTCGGGCATGACCAAGAACACCTTCGAGGTAGGCTCGTGGCGCTGAGCTCCGCTGCCAGGTGCACAGACCTGAAAGATAAGGCGGTTATTTCTCAGCCATATGTGCCCTTAGGGACTAAAATGGTTGCACTTTTGGCTGCCATTTTTATAATTTTCAATGAATTTAGCTTATCAGCTTTTTTTCACCTCGTAGCCAGGGTTGAAAAAGGGAAAGAACAGTATCTTTAAAAAGGGTCTTTTGGGGGGGACCTGGGTGACTCAGTCGGTTAAGCGTCCGACTTCGGCTCAGGTCATGATATCACAGTCCGTGGGTTCGAGCCCCGCGTCAGGCTCTGTGCTGACAGCTCTGAGCCTGGAGCTGCTTTGGATTCTGTCTCCCTCTCTCTCTCTGCCCCTCCCATGCTCATTCTCTCTCTCTCTCTCTCTTTTTCTCTCCCTCTTTCTCTCATTCTCTCTCTTTTCTCTCTTTTTCCTTCTCTCCTTCCCTCAAAAATATTTTAAAAAGGCCTTTTACATGTATTGCTACTCTCACTTTAGCCTGCTTAGTAAGTGCTGCAGCTGATAGGCCGAGGAATGGGGGCCAAGCACGCCTGTCACAGCCTCGCCCCCCTTGTGGCCTGCCCACTGAGGCCAGACTCGGCCCCGTGTGAACAAACGCATGCATGAAGTAACTCTCTCCATGGCACAAGCTGCTGTGTGTGCACACGTGTGGCATCTGCTGAGCATGTGCTATGTCCACACATAGGTGTCTCTCGTCTGCACACACGTGTGGCTTGCTGGTAGTGCACACAGTGCGTGTGTACACACACCCCAGCTCTGTGAGTGAGGGGTTAAGCGGTAAACTCTCCCACACCTCGGGTTCCCAGAATTGCGATCACCTGACCACGTGATGCTTAGCCTTAGGAGGAGCACACTTTCAAATGAATTCTGCACAAGGAAGTGCGAGTTGCTTAGGGATTTGTGTCTTAGAGCACGATGCACTATGGCGCCTTGTGCAGCCAGCTTCATTGAATGTGGATTCCAGCTTCTAAAATGTCCCTGAGGTCCAGCGAGACAGAGTCTACATAAACCCGTCTCTTTTTCCATGTTACTTACCCACGGGCTCTGAGAAAACAGGCTCAGAACTCTATGGTTTGCCCCCTCTGTGTTTTCCCTTTTTGGTGTGGTCCCGATAAGGAAACGTTGGCGAATAGGGATGTTTTTACAATTAATGCACATTTTTGGTTTTCCATCCATCACTTTTATCCTGTGGATTTAAAGCAGAAGAATTAATTAGCCTTCATTAGACTGTCATCATGATCTCAGCACCACTTGCTAGGCTTGGATGCCATGGAAGGAAACGGGTGGCCAGTCCTGCACGTGGGCTGTGGGGGGATGGGGCTCGCCCGCAGGCCCCAGGGAGGAGGGTGGCGGTGGGCACCCTGGGCACTCACCACTCGTGTGTCTGCAGGTGTTCCCCGTGACGAGCTCGGGGGCCCCCGTCAGCGAGTACCCCTTCGTGAGGACAGGCCTGCTGGGCTTCGTCGGCCCCGGGGGGCTCGTCTTCGTGGTGGGCAAGATGGACGGGCTCATGGTGGTCAGTGGGCGCAGACACAACGCTGACGACATCGTTGCCACAGCACTGGCCGTGGAGCCCATGAAGTTCGTCTACAGGGGAAGGTGGGTGTGCCCTCTGGGATGTCAGCACCGGGCTGTCTGCAGACGACATCGTTTGCATAAAATGCACAAATTCCTTCCCTGGAGGGGACGCAGTGACCCCTTATGTTCTCTCTAGTTCTGAATGTCCAGTTTTATAGAAATTTCCCGAGCTCCATACATACATTTTCATCACTTCTCCCCGACTTAAATAAAAATACCGGTTTGAAAAACTTGTTTTTTAAGTAAATACACTAAGGAAAGAGCCAGAAATTCTTATTGGTACAGATCGTCTCCAAAGATCCGGGAGCAGTCGAGCAACAGTTGTGCGGGAGTCCTGCCCCCCCTGCCCCCCCCCCCCCGATGCCCTGTGCACAGTAAATGCTAAACTCGTGGCGGCAGCTCCTCCGGTTTCGGCTGACGTGAAGGGAGCCCTGAGCTGCTGTAGAGCCTCACTTCCGCCCGGCTGGCCCATGGGAGTGGCAGCCGTAGACATGTGGATGTAGCACTGTCCCCTGTAAGCCACTTCCGCGGAGCATCCTCTGTGGGTGCTGGGGGGCACTCCAGGGGCCCCAGCCCTGCGATGCTGTGCTTAGCGAGAGAGGCGTCCCTGGCAGAAACCCGTCAATCCCAGCCTTCCCCCGGTGCGGAGACTTACTCACAGGTGCGACCCCAGACATGGATCGTGCACCGCTCTGGCGACCACGGCCCCCCGCCTTCTGTCTGCCCTGAGAACTGGGGCCGGGCCCCTCACAGGTTTGCGGGGCAGAGGCCGGCGCTCCCCGCGCGTCTCCGGCATGTGCTCACTGCGCCTTCTCCTTCTGCCCTCACAGAATAGCTGTGTTTTCGGTGACTGTCTTGCACGACGAGAGGATCGTGATTGTGGCCGAGCAGAGGCCGGACTCCACGGAGGAGGACAGCTTTCAGTGGATGAGCAGGGTGCTGCAGGTAGCCCCCTCCCCCCCCCCGGCCCAGGGCCACCCCAGGGGATCGCAGCCACCGGGAAGTTCATGTTTGCGTTCTTGGAAAGTAACGAAACAGACCAAGTAGAGGTCACTGTCTGTAAAACTGGCTCCCACCATTCACTTGGGGACGTCACAGTAACAGATTTGCTCTGACCCCGAGAGTGTATTTCTTCTTCCACGTTTCCCTTCGTCGCGCGTGTGGGGTCCCTCAAGCCCACATAGAATCCCCGCTTTGCTGCGTTGCCGCCTTCTCCCCGCTCAGGCGGCGCGTGCTGCTCATGTGCAGGCAGGACGTGGCGCCGTCTGAGCGCTTGCTTCCTGTCCGTGGCGGCTCTTCTAACCCTAACCCTCCCTTGTGACCTTCCAGGCGATTGACAGCATACACCAGGTTGGGGTTTACTGCCTGGCCTTGGTTCCAGCAAACACCCTCCCCAAAACCCCGCTCGGTGGGATCCACTTGTCAGAAACGAAGCAGCTCTTCCTGGAGGGCTCGCTGCACCCCTGCAACGTCCTGATGTGCCCCCATACCTGTGTCACAAACCTGCCGAAACCTCGTCAGAAGCAGCCAGGTACGTCCCTTGGGCTGGAGTGGCGCGTGGGGTCCGGGTGGCTGCCGTTGGCACCCGGTGGGCCAGGCCCCCCTGTAGGGGCTTCTCAGCCCCCTTCCCGGCCTGCTCTCCACTCTCCTGGGGCACAAACCTGCCCCACCAGATGGTGGATGGGAGGCTCTCCCGGGACAGCGTGGCAGCCGGGAGCCTGACGCCCGGGAACGTCGGGAAGGAGCCCCGCATCCCAGTGGGTGGCAGACCCTTGGTCCGGCTCTGTGGCCTTTTGCCAGGCCTGGACCGTCTCGGTCACAGTGCCCTTGTGCACAGAGGACAATAATGCTTCCTTACCGGTTTCATGGGCTATTTAGGAGTCCAAGCAACTAACGTGGGAAACTCCTGAAGCCCGTGCGGAAGCCCACACGTTGTGACGTTGTGACGTTGTTTTAAGAGTGAACGTGTGCCTCACACTTGGGGGTTTGGGGAACATGTGTGTATCCATTGTCTGACTTTGCCCAGCAACTAAACAGTCCTGCTCTTTCGGGCTGCGTGGTTATCAGTGCAAGGAAATTTATCCTGAGACCGCGGGAGGCGAGGGCCCCGCTCTTCTGCCCGTGCGGTGGCGGAGGCTCCCCGGCGGGGAACGGCGGGCGGCGGGGCCGCTCTAGGACAGCCTGGCTCCTGCATGGCGTACAGGTTAGCACCTCTCTTCTCACGGAGCCTCATGTGGTAGGCGCTCTTCTGTCCCTGGTTCACAAATGAGGAGAACGTGCCACAGAGGGGTTGGGGATCGACGGGCGAGTGTGACAGAGGCGAATCCAGACCAGTGCTGATCCACCCAGGACAGCGTGGCTCCGGGGCAGAGTTTACACGAGTCGGCTGGACATGGTGAGGTCGCCTCTGGGCCTAGCCCGCCTGGTGGTAAATGCGGGGGCTGAGGCTCACCCCTTGACCGGAGCTGGGCTGAGAGGGTGGGCGGCGAGGAGAGGGCGCTGGTGCTGCAGGAGGCCGGCTGCCCCGCCCCAGGAGCAGGGAGGGTCTCCAGCCTCCATCCCTGCCCGGCCTCCTCCGTGACGCATGGTTCTCGTGGCCGCACACGTCGTCGTCTTGCGGTTCTCTCCTCCGCTGCACGGATTCTCGTGGAAAGCAGAGAGTCACCATCTGCTTTCTGGGCACCTTAGCAATGCAGTTGTCTCTGCCTTTTGGCTTTCTTCCAATTTCTGTGCTGTTTGTTGTTTTCTTACATTCGAGGTTCTAGGTCCCCTAATACTTCCCTTCGTGTCTTTTTCCTCTCAGTCCTCGGCTTATACAGTTGTTACAGCAAAACTTAAAGTTGTAGCTGATGAAGTCTCCATTTCTTTACATTTAGGGGGCACACTGGCTACAAGTGATGAGCCCCCCAAAACACAAAGCATTGCCTTCAGGTGGGCGAATCACAACGCTGAAATGTCACCTGTTTCATCTCCTGCTATTGGGCCGTCAGCAGCCCTGGGAAGGCTCGAGCAGTGGCTCCCGCGGTGTGTTGGTGTCTCTGAATGGAATCGATTGCGGTGTAGGGCTCCTCAGGGTGTCCTTGCGCACATTCGGTGGCAACCGCCTTCTCCCTGTCTCCTCACCTCCGTTCACCATCAGACACCTCCACGCGGGGGCCTGGCCGCCAGCGGTCCCCGGTGTGGAGAAGCTCACGGCAGAACTCAGGACAGATCCCTATGGTGGGGCTCATTTGCCAAGGCCCGATGTGCTTCCAGAGCTGTGGGGCTCACGCACCTACCAGATGTCAAGGCAGAAAAACGTGGCTGAATGAAAACTCCAAGGCACTTAGCTTGAGAGCCATGTCAGGGCAAGTGCAGAAGGGATGAGCCAGGAGGTGGGGGCTGTTTAGACATTGCAGCCGCAGCGTGGCGAGTGAAGCTTTATGCAGTTGATTATTGTAAAGACACAATGTTCCAAGCAGGCTCCGGATGGTCAGCACAGAGCCTGACACAGCACTCGATCCCGTGACCCTGCTATCATGATCTCAGCTGAAGTCAAAAGTTGGACACTTAACCGACAGAGGCACCGAGGCGCTCCTGAAAAAAGCTGTTTTTAACAAATATTAATGACAGGGTGAGGGGCTGGTTCACTTTCCTACCTCACCTAGTGACCTGCAATGTACCTCAGGTGACATTTCCATGAAGCCTCAGTTTCCGAAAATGTAATGAGGGACGTGGATGAGGTGATTTTTAAGGGTCCCTTGCTGACTGTGAACAAGCACTTGTTTCCCAAACATTCAGGGAGGCCGTTTTTCCACGAGGGTGTTGCTAGATGCTTGAAACAGAGCCTCTAAAGCATAGATAGTTTGTAGATGATCTAATTGCTTCCTTTAGTGGACGAATTCATATTTACCGAGCTAACAACATTCGTACAAGAGTATCTTATGGAGCACAAAGTGTTAAAAGCCCTTTCACCCCTCAGTTGGGCTCCCAGTGTTGACAGTCCCGGGGACACATTGCATCAGAGCAGCCCACGGGGCGCAGGAGGAGCTGCCGCTGACAGCGCTGTGGCCGCCAGAGAGGAGGCGAGCAGTGCGGCTGGGCTCCCCGGCTCTGGACCCCGGGGACGGGACGTGTGCTGTGTCCCCTGTGTGAAGCGGCCGGGTATCAGCAGGAATTGGACAGCTCTGAGCTGAACCACAGACTTGCCGAGCTCTGAGTCTGTAAGTGGGAGGTCAGGGGACAGAGCCAGTATGAACTTCCGTACCTATTCTTGGGTGCATCTCAACCTTATATTTTCTTTTTTTTAATTCTTATTTTATTTTAGAAAGCATGTGAGTGGGGGAAGGACGGAGGGGGGGGAGAGAGAGAGAGAGAGAGAGAATCCCAAGCAGGCTTCACACTCAGTGCAGAGCCTGACATGGGGCTCAATCCCACGACCCTGGGATCATGACCTAAGCAGAAATTAAGAGTCGGATGCTCAACCGACGGAGCCGCCCAGGCGCCCTTCAACTTTGTATTCTCACATCATGAGGCAATGAAGCGTGTGAGGGCGTTTTTGCACCACACCCACCTCATTTGGCAAGGCTGAGAGACCCTCGGTTCTTGGGAGGGGGCAGATTTTGTAAATAAGTGCCACAGGAAAGCACCTGTCTCTCAGCAACATTTGGAAAAAATGATGAAGTCCACCTCGGGGGAGAAGCACATAAGGCGTGAGCCTCACATCTGGTAGAGGTCAGTGCTGGGGAAGGAGGGACCTCAGAATGGTGCTTCTCCCACCCTAGTTTGAATTCTTAGCAAATTTTGGAGAAGACTTCAAGCCAGTTGAGGCCAGAATGGCTTCTCAGAAGAACCTTCCTGCCTGCCTCCATCACCAAGGAGAATGTCAGGACGCTTTCCCACAGACGCCAAGCCAGCAGGTAGGGGCCAGTCGGCTGGGCTCCGGGTTGAGCCTGTGCACCATCCACGCGGCAGACCCATTTGTTCCACGTGCGCCATGAGCCGTGTTTTCTTTTCATCTTGTTAAGTATGAAAAGCCTCCCCCCACTCTGTTGTAGTTTCCTTATTACGAGCTGAGAAAAGAAATTTAGGCACGCCTGACAATTCAGACCTGACGGAGCAGAGCACAGAAGGCGTGTTCTGTGATCCCACGGAAACATGTCAGGGCTCCTACAAATTGCCTAAAATGAAGAAGCCAGTGAGCAGGGGCCCAGAAATCTGTGTCCTGGGCTGTTTTCCCGATTTCAGTCCTGCCTGGAAGTAGCTGTCTTCTCCCGCATAGCCGTGCCGTTGAGTGTTTTACGACAACCCAAATCTGGATGGGCACGCGTCTGCAGGGAAGAAGGTCGCCTGGGGGCGTCAGCCCCTGCCCTGCCCGCGGTGCCTGGGGGTGGTCCTGGCAGCCGCTGGCCTCCACCCCGAGCCTGAACCTGAGACTTTATCAGCTGCCGACACGCGGCTCTTCACGAGCAGTAACAAGGCCGTGTGTGCCCTGATTTAGAAGCCTGTAAGTTGACCTTCAGCAAAGGTTAGATAACCTGATTCAGTCGTGACCTTCAACTTGTATTTTATCAAACCACAGGCTGAACACGTGTCTTTGTTATTTCCACTGCCTTCTTTAAGCTCCCTGCCTGCCTCCTTGCCTCCCTGTGTCACACACGCTCACATGATTGTAGGGTCTCCCGAACAGCTGGCCCTTTCCTGTTAAATGTGCGTTCGTGCGTGTGTGGTCCAAACACAGTGAGTGACTGTATTTTGAGAAACCTGGAGGGTCCCCAGGTTTCTTGCAGTTGCACATTTTGAAAGAGTTTCTACAGTTCTTTGGGAAACTTGTTTCTTTCGTTAAAACAGAAAAGAAAGCTGTCAGAATAGATCGCATCTGGTTTTTGTCTTGTGAAATGTTTCATACGCCGTGAAAGGAGCGCTGGTAATCGAGTCAGTGATGGTGTGGAAGAGGCGCTTGGACTCAGCAGGAGCCTCAGGGCCCGGTCTCGTGTGTCTGCCGGCCTGGCGCGAGCCCAGAGCTGTCCGTCAGGGACACCGACAGGGGACTGTGCTCCGCACAGCGTTACTCCCACATTACAAACGTGTTTATTAAGAAAAGTGCAATACTTTGTTAGTATGAGTGTCACTTGGTGAAGAGCAGGGGCCCCGGAGAGCACCGCACGGGTGGCCGGGAGTCCGAGCGCTTCGCAGGGCGACGCGTCGCGGTTCACTGCCTCATCCTCGGCGTTACTTCTCACGCTCACCGAAGTGGGTAGATCCCAGCATCCCTCCAGCTGACGGTGGAGCAGCGGCGGTGGGTTTGGCAGACGCCGCTGGGGTCTGGGGAAACGTTGTTGTTGACCTGAGATGGAGACCTGTTCGTGTCTGCCATCATTCTCGTTGTTGGGACACCTTAGAAACCCTTTACTAACAAGATTTTTTTCAGAGCTCGGCCTCTCAAAGGGCTTCCCCGGAGCAAGCTCTTTGCCAAGGTGGGAGGTCCTGATTTAAGGTTTGTTTCCTCACATTCTCTCTAGAAATCGGCCCTGCCTCTGTGATGGTGGGGAACCTGGTGTCTGGGAAGAGGATCGCGCAGGCCAGCGGCAGAGACCTGGGCCAGATAGAAGACAATGACCAGGCACGCAAGGTGAGAGGCGGACGGGGCTCCCCTCCGAGCCCGTGCTGGTACGCCGGCACCGACTGCCAGCTCCGTGTCTGCCACTGACCTCGTGCATCCTGCCCCTCAGTCCTGCAGACGCATCCATACAGTCTTCCAACAAAGTTGTGTGTGTTGGGGGTGCTGTGGCGCCGGGCACTGCACAGGGTCACGGAGGTGGGAGGAGTCGCACGAGCGCGGCCTGAGGCCCGTGTCCGGGGAGGCCTGCTGTGTGCTGGCGTCCTGGGGCACTGGCTCCTGATGACCCTGCGAGCCCTGTGTGACACCCAGGCGGCCCCCCAGCAAGGCTTCGGTCCTGTAGCTGTGGGAACTCCAGGAAGCAGAAGTTTAGAGCCCTGGTTGGGCAAACAGGCGTCCTTAATGTGACCTTAAGGGCTGGAGGGGCAGCCTGGGGGCCACAACCACCATACACATCACACGTTTTGTCACATGTACTGTGGGTCCCCCTAATAACCACTCAAACTTGAGGACTGATGATTCACCACAAGGTCACCCCCATCTGTACGAGCTACCAGGAAATGTGGCAAAGCCAGCTGTTTAAAATATTGCCAGTTTGGTAATAAATAGAATTACGTTCGTTAAAAACACTTGATCCCCATGTTCAGACCTCAGAATACATTTCTGTTAAAAAAGCAGATTAAGGGATCTACACGGGTGTTTTCTGTCATTGGACATGAGGCGGAGCTGACCTTTGCACTCCACACCGACGCAGTGGGGTGCACGCGATCTGTGTGATTTGTGGTGCCCTTGGATGACCTCAGGGAGTGACCATTTGACAACAGCACATTTAAGAGAGCCCAGTTTAGAAGCCGCATAGATCTGATCTTGCCGTCACAGCCCCCGGAGACCCGGTCTGGAGGCCAGGAGGGCTCTGTGTTGGCTGCCCCTGGTGCGGGGGCTGCACCCCCGGCCATCGCAGGTTGCGGGAGGCGTCCCCGACCAGGTGCCGCACCGGCCCCTGTGAGCTCTGAATCCCGGCCAGGCCCCGGGGGCCACGCCACACAGGAGGAAGCCCGTAAGTGCTGGCTGCCGCGTCTCATCGTGACGGGGCTCTGCCTCCCCCGTGGAGGAGCACTGCTCTAGCGCCTGCGCACTGAAGCCGGCCGGGCCTGAAGGGGGGAGTTGGAGTCTGGGCGCGGGACCTAACGGCTGTGCTTTGTTCCAGTTCCTGTTTCTCTCGGAGGTCCTGCAGTGGAGGGCGCAGACCACCCCCGACCACGTCTTGTACACGCTGCTCAACTGTAGGGTGAGGCACGCCCAGCGCGGCTATCCCGCCGCACCTGCGGCCGTAACGCTCTGGCTCCCGTCTGACGTGTGTCCTTCATGTTGTTTGTTTGTTGCTGTTTTGACTGAGGTCTTTATGGATAGTTTGAGCAATATCTATTTTGCACCATCTCCCCCACAAAACACAGGGAATGGTTCAGATCTGTGAGACATTTTTTTGTCTTTTATGAGTGAACTACTCTCTTGTAAGTAAGAAGTTGCCCTCTCATTATAGACTTCCATTCTTGGGAGCGAACGTCTTTTCTATTTTCCAAGTGTAATTAAGGTGTGTGTTGACATCTCACACTGGAAGAGCGAGCTCTTCCAGTGTTGTTCATAGGACCTAAGAATAAGACCTTACGTATACCAGCAAGTGGTATTAACAATAAAAATCAGATGCGAAAGCTTTAACATGCTTAACCTTTTTTTTTTTTTTTTTTTTTTTTTGCTGTGGCAATAAAGCCTGAGAAAGATTTTAAATTTAGGTCTCTTGACAAGTATGGGTATGTGCCGTTGTCAGAGATTATGGCTATGCATAGTTGCAAAATACCAAAATCTTAATATGCGAAGGCATGCAGGCCAACATCCATGTGATGTGGATCCTGGAAATGACCACGGATGCTCTGAGGATCTTGAGTTGCTGTGTGTGCAGAGGTGACCTGGTGGGTCACTTGTTCCTTGGGTCTGTTCAGGCTGCCCCCCAGGAAGATAGTGCACCTGCCTCCCTGACCTCTGTTAGGGCCTAGTGACCCCCGCTCCCCGGATGGACTCTCCTGCACTCACGAGTGCGCGCAGTAGGAACCTCAGCATCTGGGCCCCTGAGAGTCTGTGCAGTTACCCGAGGCCCCGGAACACGTCCACCCCGCTTTTGTCGTCTCTCTTCTCCATCGGCTCCTTCCCAGCTGTAAATACGGATAAGACCCCGCTTTCCTAATACCACTGCCCAGCTGACGGGCCTTGGTGCTGCGATGCCGACCTAATTTCTCCTTAATCTCTTGTGCTGACTGTCTCCACCCTCTGCACGTAGCATTTGTCCTGGGGACTATTCATCTCCGTGGTCTCTCAGTGGTCTTCCAGAGTGATGACTGTCACCTGTCCCTGGGAAGGACACCTTCTCAGATGCCTATCAGCTACAGGGATGTGTGCCTTCGTTCAGCTTCCCCAGCCACTGTAGTCGTGCCGACACGCTGGGTATGGTGCGTCCTCCATAAGCGCTAAGCTGTGCAAGAGCGAGGGGCAGGTCCACATCACTTTTCAACCTCCGCAGCATGGCTCCCAGTCTCTCCTGTTTGCAGTGTGGGTGGAGATCTGTGCCTGGACCCCTTGGAGGTATAAACAGGCCGCGTAGGGAGGAGACTACCCCTGCGACACACAGAGACTCAGAGGTGATCGGGGTGTGTTCACAGATGACCCGCCCTGGAGGGGAGGAAGACAGAGCTGTTCTAACCACGTGGGACGACAGGAATGGCAGCGTGGGGGCAAAGCCCTCAGATGGTCAGCTGGGGCGACGCCAGGACGCTGGGCTCCTTGTGCGCTGGTCTGGCCTGGGTGGTGGGTGTTTCCATCCCTGACCGCATGGTCATAGTCATCTGCTGTAGCTGTACCCTGAGTCGTTTGGCAAAATGAGTCACTCGAGAAAGGGCTTCGTTAGAAACAGAAAAGTGGACGGGTGCGGAGATCAGAGCCGTGAGTGAATCCACTTTGGGTCAGCATGGAGAAAGGTGGCTCGTGGTGGCTTTCCTTTGCATGTGGCTCTGGACATGAGGGCAGTTGTGTCCTGAGCCAGTCTAAGGGTTGGACTTGACCTCCAGTTCCACGTAGAACTTACAATAAACGCTAGGCCGTGGCTGAAGGCCGGAACCACCATCTTTACTGTGTTTTTGTGTAATTTCCACATCAGTCGCCCTGCCGCTGCTGCACTGCCCTGTGGAAGCACAGCACAAGCCATACGTGCCATTTTACGTTTTCTAAAAGCAGTATTTTAAACAGATGGAAACCGGTGAGGTTGGTAACGTCTGACTTAACTCCATGTATCCACACCATCCTCACCCCGGCACGTGGCTCACCGCGTTTTCAGGCTGGTCTCGTTCCTGCGTGGCACATGCTGCCAGTTGTGAATTTGGCAACTTGGCGAGGCTCGTCGAAGCCGGCGAACTGTTTGGCACCTGGAGAGCAGCTTTCTTGCTGCCAGCAGTGTTCAGTCGTACGTTCCCCGCCATGGCCAGTGCCGTCGGTAGAACACGAGCTGTTAGGTCAGATCTACAGTAGGACACGGGGATGTAATTGATTGCAGTTCATGGAAAACTTGTATTTTGGAACTTGTTTCCATACAAAAGGCCATCTCTTTTTTTTTTTTTTTTTTTAACAATCATAAGACAACTCTTTTTAAAGTTTTATTGTATGTTTTGGGATTTTTTTTTTGCTTGTAACAGTTTTTTTTTTTTAATTTTCAAATATAAATCACATTTGGCTTTTTCTTAATTCCTTAGTATTTTTTCATTTGTTTTTTAACCTAAGGTAAAACTTTAAAGCAGCACCAAAATCCACAGTCCTTGACACTGAAACCTGTGGACTTTACAACAGGGGTTGGGTTCTGTCATGATTCCGCCCAAAACTTATTTTCGGAAAAGTCAGCCCTAATTTCTCCAGTGAGGTGGTTTTACTAGAACCTTCTTTCTCTGGAAACCTTATCCTTTTGTGTGGATGGGGATGGGGTAGCCAAGCAGCCACCAGCCAGGGCTAGTGGGCTGCCCCTTCCCAGAACCCTCTCCCGTGGCCACTCGCTCCTGTTCTGCTGAGCCGGCACGGGCGCTGTTTCCCCGGGGGGGGTGCGGGGCGGGGGGGATTGTGCTGAATGAAGCTCCCGCCAGGAGTCTGGGGCTGGGCGCAGCCTGTGGGCTCGTGAGAGGTGGGGCTCGGACACGTTCAACCCTGCACGTAGGGCAGGAGGGATGCGAGAAGCTCTGGGCTGCCTGGGAAGCAGTGCTCCCGGCCCCAGCGCGGCGCCTTCCAGGGCCTTGAGGGCAGTGCTGATCCCCAGGCTCCTGTGCTCACTCCAGAACTGGAACCCCCCCCCCCCCCCGCCAAGGTTACTGCCCTGTGGCAGGGGCTTATCTGTTCACTGCTGTAAACCCGAAGAGCTGCGAACGCTGTTGGGAAAGCTGTTTCAGAGGCCAGTAGAGCTAAAGGACAGCAGGTTTATTAAATTTCACCTTTTTTAAGTATGTCAGTGGGATTTTCACAAACCGGGGCCAAAACATCTTTTCAGATACACTTGAGGCTGCTGGTTCTGAGCCCCCGGCACCTGGCAGTCCCCGGTTTTGTCTCATGACGGGACAGCTGGTCACTGATAGGGGATTGACATCGGATCTCCTGAAGCTGAGGTCAGCTCCAGGGTCTGAACAACCCAGGGCAGGAACGCTTGCTACCTAAGACAGGCAGGCCGCACCGGGCAGAGGGGGCACAGAGCGGGGGGCCTCGCGCAGCGGGAGCGTAACCGCGAGCCCTCTGTGCTGGCGCTGCCCGCCGTGGCACACCGCCACCCCAGCATCGCGGCCTGTGCCGGTCCCACGCCCAGGACAGCTGGTGCGCAAGCGTCTGGCAGGACGGGCTCCCTTCGGCTGTGCCTGTCTCACTCCGAAGTGTTGAGAGGACATGTGGGTCAGAGTGTGTGTGCGTGCGTGTGTACGCGCGCGCTTCGGCTCCTGTGGACAGGCGTGGTCTCCAGGAGTGGGTGCCAGGGAGCTCCCGGTCTGGGGGCCCTGGGCTCGCACGGTTGGGCTGCGTCTTGCACCTCGGCCTCCCGGGTCTGTCTGGTTACCCAGCTTTGCCACGTTCTGCCGAGGCTCCCCCACCTCCTGCCCGTTTCCATTTTCTCACTTTTTAACCTGCCTTGGAAGGCAGACCTTGGAAGGCAGACAAGGAAAATGTGTGGGGTAAGAGGGCTCAGTTCAGGGACCAGTCCCAGCCGGTGGGAAAGGGCAGGAGCCCCTGCAGCCGAGCGCGGCTTGTGGGTCGGGTCCTTAAAGGGAACGAGTTGCCTCCTGGAGCCGCATGCAACACCCAGTTATCTTGTGCGTGATTGTGTCACGTGCCCCTGGTTCTGAGAGGTCATCCCGAACCCCACTGGAGCAGGTGTGTCCCACAGGCCATTTGGCTGGGATTCTGTGTTTCCCCAGCACCGCCGGGCACTAAACCACCGCTGCCTGTTTTTAAGGGACCCCAAGGGCCTGGTCACTTCCTTCCATGCAACATGACCCCTTCCATGCAGCGCCGCCCACTGCCCTTCCCTTTGGACTTTCCTCTCCATGCGTGACTTTTGGGTCCAGGTCACCTGCTGATATTTGAGTCCTCGAAAACCACATGTGTCTCGCTGTTCTTCCTGCTGCTGCTGGCTCGCCCCATCCACGCGAGCAAACAGTGTTGTCACGAATTCCGTGGCTGTTTTCAGTGTGTGGAGTCTTCCTGGCCCCAGACACTGCGGGTTGCCTGCCCTTCACCCTGTGAATTGCTTTAAAATAGGGTTTGATCATGAAGAGCAGGGTTTTGATTTTATTCTCCCCAACTCTTTACTTTGAAATAATTGGAGGGGCACCTGGGGGCTCAGTCAGGCGTCCAACCAGCTCAGGTCATGATCTCACGGTTTGTGGGTTCGAGCCCCGCGTTGGGCTCTGTGCTGACGGCTCAGAGCCTGGAGCTGCTTCGCGTTCTGTGTCTCCCCTTCTCTCTGCCCCTCCCCTGCTCACACTCTCTCTCTCTCAAAAATAAACAAACATTAAAAAAATTAAAAAGAAATAATTGGAGATTAGCAGGAAGTTACAACAGCAGTGCTTTTAAGGTATTTTTTAATCCAAATGTGTTTTCCATTTGTTTCTACACTTATAACATTCCACATAAAGAGAATTGTACAAGTTTGTTTTTCACTTTACTGGATTTGTTTGACTCTTGCTTTGTTTTTTGACCTCGACTTTTAATTGTTTCTTAAAAACATGTCCAACTTGTTTTGCTTCCTGCTGGTTCACCGCTGACTCTTCCTGCCCTTGGCTATTACACCGAAGTTCCAGAATTACCAGGTTGACTTTTTTGGGAGGGAGTTTAGCTAGTCTTTAGCTCAAATAATTCGTTTTTGAGAACATTTCTCGTTAGCACAAGTACATCTAGATGCCTGTTTGGTGCTGCCCTTCTTGGCCAGTGGGAAGGAGAGGAAAGGGGCCGGTAACGGACGGGGTCCTTGGGGGATGACCAGTGCACCAGAACCAACCGTGGGTGGTCGCACAGCTGTGCGGACACACTCACGCCCGTTTAGTGTGTATTTCACATACGGTGACTGGCTGGTACCTGCAGTACATCTCGGTAAGGCTGTTACGTTAAAAAAAAGTCTCACCCAGTCATTCTTGCGATCCTCAGGGTACGATAGCAAGCTCGCTGACGTGCGTGCAGCTGCATAAGCGCGCCGAGAAGATCGCCGTGATGCTGATGGAGCGAGGGCACCTGCAGGATGGGGACCACGTGGCTCTCGTGTACCCGCCAGGTGAGCAGGCAGTTCCGGCAGCTGTGAGGCGGGCGCCTTGCCGCCCACACTCTGGCTGACACCCAGCATCGTGTTCTGTGCGGCCTCCTGTGTCTAGTTGCGGCCTCTTGTGGTCATACATGCGCTACGAGCCGTGTGCCTCCTGAGGTCATACACGCGGTGAAATTTCACAAAGACATTTGTGTCTGAATTTGTTTTATTAGGTATCTGAGGTAGTTCATTTAATCAACAGCAATTAAATCCCTCTCTAAACTGATAACAATAGACTTGGTAACTCCTTAGAGAAATGACAGAAATTAGCCACCTGGGCCCTGTGGGGGTCTCGTGCGTAAAGGAATAGGGGATGGGAGGTTACAGCACAGAGAGGAGTCCGCTCCTGTCGTGGCCCCAGGCTGGCACCTCTGCTGCCAGGGACGGACTGTCACCTGAGCGCTCGCGCTTTTCTCCCCGTCTAGGAATAGATCTTATTGCAGCATTTTATGGCTGCCTGTACGCGGGCTGCGTGCCAATAACCGTCCGCCCCCCACACCCGCAGAACATCGCCACGACGCTGCCCACCGTGAAGATGATTGTGGAGGTAACTGCGCCTGGAAGCATCTGGGCTCTGCTCCTCCTTCCCGGGGGCCCTTCCTCCCCCTCCCCCTCCCCCGGGCCCTTCCTCCTGCCTGGACCTAGAGTGGGGCTTCTAGATGGCAGAGCCCAGGGCAGGGCTGGCTCTGGGGCTGGTGGGGAGGATGCAGCCTCTGCCTCCAGTTCCGGAAGCAGGATTTCAATTCACTTGTGGTGTTACGGGCTGGGGTGATTTCGCTCATTTATTGGAGCTGAAGGGCCCTTGAGAAAGTGACTCCTCTCACAGGCACCTGTACAGACAGTGGGGGGTTTCTGCACCAAACTGAGTGAAAAAGTCGTATTTTTCTTTAAAGTTCTCTGCTCAAGATTTAGAAGTGTCCCGTTCCTTTTTGAAAGCAGAGATTTATTTTAATTTTTCTCATGCTTGGGGAAGTGTAAGAGGAGACACCACAAGGGACAGCTTAGTTTGGGGACAGCACCTGCGAATTCCTTTTGTGGGTGAATGGGAGCACCGTCCAGGCCGCTTTGCTGTTCAGAACGTAGCGACCATGTCGGTGAAGCTGTGTGGCATTCGTAGATCAGAGCCGATGGTGAGACTGGCCAGGTGGGGCGCTCCTTCCAAGCACGCTCGTAACCGTGGTCACTCCTCAGCTCCAGAAGTTCCCAGGGGCCTCAGGGTCTGTGAGCTCCGGATGCCGTGATCATATCATGGCTCTCACGCTGGCTCCATGGGAGGCAGCCCTGCCCACTGTGAAAGCCGCTGGCCTCGGGTACATACTGAGCAGCTGGCCATGTGCAACCGCTCACCGCCTTCCTCCACACCTTGTTCTCTCACCTCAGGTGAGTCGCTCTGCCTGCTTGATGACAACACAACTGATCTGTAAGTTGTTGCGGTCCCGGGAGGCAGCTGCGGCCGTGGACGTCAGGGCGTGGCCCCCCATACTGGACACAGGTCAGTCCGCGAACCATCCAGACACTTGTGCTTGCGTGTCTGCTTTGCCGTTGGCTCAAACGTGCTAATAGCCCTGTTTTGCTCCAGATGACTTGCCAAAGAAGCGGCCCGCCCAGATCTACAAACCTTCCAACCCAGACACGCTAGCTTATCTTGACTTCAGTGTGTCCACCACGGGGATGCTGGCTGGAGTGAAGGTTAGTGACACGTCTGTGCGGTGGCACATGCGAGGGGTGTGTACCTGCGCTTCACTGAGACCATAAAATGCCCAGTCATTCCCACGGTTACCTAGGCCGGCCGATTCTTTCCAAATGCCCCACCTGTCTGTGTGTGTGTAAACACAGCCTCACCAGCCCCCAGTAAGACTGCTCGCGTTTCTTCCTCGCTGGTTTTCAAATCCCAGAGCTCTGTTGTGAAACCCTGTGCGCTAGGATTCTTGCTCTGTTAATGCGGGTTCCATCACCGCGTGCCGGAGGACTGCGCGTCCCGTGACCCTGGCTCCTGTTAAAGAACAGCTCTGGCGGTTAGGAGTGCTGACCCCGTGCACGGTGAAAACTCCATGTATAACTTTTGGCTCCCCCAGTGGCCTGCTGTAGACTGGACATCTTACCAGTAATGTAAAATAAAGAGTCGATTAAAACCCATTTTGTGTGTTATATGTATTATATGTCATATGTCATATGTGTTATGTGTATGTACTATGTGCATGTGATATGTAGTGTGTATTATGTAACATAATGTGTACTGTATTCTTACGTAAAGTGGTAAGCCAAAGAAAATCTATTAGGGAAAATGCTGACTATTACAGTCTGGCACCATAAAAAGTCCGCGAGTTGGTGGGCTGGTGCACACAGACCCATGTTGTTCGTGGTGACTGCGGTGCACGTCACCTCATGAGGACTCTCAGTGCTGGCAGTGTCCTGGTCAAGGGGCTGGTGCATTCTCAGTAGCCTTAGGAAGTCCTTTGCCCGCCCTCGGGAGTCTGACCGCTCAGTTTGTGTTATTCGCTGCATTTAGTTCTCTTTATCTGCCCCTTTCCCAATTTTTTTTTTATTGTGGTTAAACATACATGACATAAATTTACCATAGGAACCCACCCAAGTGTAGGCTCAGTGGCATCAAAAGCACTCACACTGCCATGCACCCGTCCCTCCCGCCGTCCATCCCTGTAACTCATCTTGTCTTACAAAACTAAAGCTTGCTGCCTATGAATAATAACTCCCCATCCCCGCCACCCCGGCTCTTGATCGTGACGCATATGGGGACCCCACAGAAGTGGAGTCACGCTCACTGTCCTCTTGTGACTGGCTCCTTCCACTCACCATAATGTCCTGGGAGTCCCTTCATGTTGCTGAGGGCATCAGAATTCCTTTCTGAGGCTGAGTTAATATTCTGTTGAATGTGTTTACCACGTTTAGCCTATCCATTCATCCCTCAGTGAGCACTAAGGTCGCCTCCAACTTTTCGCTCCTGTAAGTAATGCTGCCATGAACACAAATGTACAAATACCTCTTCAGGTCTTATGGATATATATGGAGAAGTGGAATTTTGGGGTCAGAAGGTAGTTTCCATTTTTAACCTGGGAGGGAATTGCCATACTGTTTTCCGTGGTGGCCGCACCATTTCATGTCCTCTCCAGCACCACACAGAGGTTCCGGTTGCTTCCCGTCCTCACCAACTCTTAGAGTTTTCTGGGTTTCATATTTTTAATAGTAGTCATGTTAATGGGTATGAAGTGGTACCTTGTAGTTTAGATTTGCATTTTCCTAATGGTTAGTGATGTTAAGCATCTTCTCCTGCAGCTATTGACTCTTTGTAAGTCTTCTTTGGAGACCTGTCTATTCAAGTCCATTGAATCAAATTGCTTGGAATTTTGTTGTTGAGTCTTACAGGTTCTTTGTGTAGTCTCAATATTAATCCCTTAATTTTCTTCTCTTCTGTGGATTGCCTTCTTACTCTATGGATGGTGTTTTTTGATACACAAAATCTTTGAATTTTCATGAAGTCCAGTTTTGTCTTTTTTTTTTTTTTTTTTTTTGACCTGTGCCTTTGGTCATATCCAAGAAATCATTGCCAAATCCAGTGTCATGAAGCTTTTGTCCTATGTTCTATTCCAGGTTTTATTGTCTTAGGTCTTACATATATGTCTTTGATCCAGTTTGAGTTAACTTTTCCTTGTGGTGTTAGGTAAGGGTCCAACCTTGTTCTTTTGCATTTGGAGATCCAATTTTCTTAGCACTATTTGTTGAGAAAACTGTTGTTTCTCCCACTGAATAGTCTTGGCACCCTTGTCAAAAGTCAGTTGGCCAGTATATGCAAGGGTTTGTTTCTGGGCTTTCTCTTCCATTGATCTGTATGTCTGTTTTTATGCCAGTACTGCACTGTTTTGACTACTGTATATTTGTAGTAATTTTTAAAATCATGATGGGGGAATCTTCTGTGTTTATTTTCAAGATTGTTTTTGTTTATTCAGGTTTCCTTGAGATTCTGTGTGAATTTTATGCATTTTCTACTTACACACAAAAAAATCATTGAGATTTTGATAGGGATTTCATGGAGTCTGTATTGTTTTGGGTAGTATTGATATCTGGGAAGATGGTGTGTGTTTCCATTTATGTACGTCTTTATTTTTTAGCAGTATTTTATAGTTTTAATTGTATAAGTCTTTTACCTCCTTGGTTGAGCTAATTCCTAAGCATTTTATTCTTTGATGCTATCGTAAATGCAACGTAAATGTTTTAATTTCCTCTTCAGATTTGTCACTTAATGAATAGAAATACAAATAATTTTTGCATATTGACTTATCATCTTTTACTGAATTTACAATTGTTAACAATTTTTATGAGTGAGATATTTAGTGTTTTCTACATATAAATTCATTTAATCCATGAAGAGATCATCTTATTTCTGCCTTTCTAATCAGAATGCCTTTTATTTATTTTTCTTATGTAATTGCTTGGGCTAGAACTTCCAGTACTGTGTTGAATAGAAAGGGTGAAAGCAGGCATCCTTGCCTTACTCCTGATCATAGAGGTAAAGGGTTGAGTCTTTCATGGCTGAGTTTCTGTGTTCTTTATATATGGCTTTTATTATGTTGAAGCCCTTTTTTTTTTTTTCCTATTCCTAGTTTATTGAGTGTTTTTATCATAAAAGAATGTTGAATTTTGTCAGGGTTTTTTTTTTTTTTTTTTTGCATCAATTGAGATGATCATGTGTTTTTTTTTCCCTCTCATTCTTTGAATATGATATATCACATTGATTTTTTTTTTAAGATTTTATTTTTAAGTAGCCTCTATATTATTCTGGGATTTGAACTTAACAGCCCGCAAGTCAAGAGTCATATGGTCTTTGGACTGAGCCAGCGAGGTGCTCCCATTGATTGATTTTTCATTTGTAGAGCCTACAATCTGTTATAGGAATAAATCCCACTGATGTATAAGCCTTTTAAAGTGCTACCGAATTGGGTTAGTACTTTATTGAGGATTTTGGCATCAGTGTTCCGCAGAGATATTGGTCCGTAATTTTTCTCACAGAATGAGTTAAGAAGTGTTCCCTTCTCTGGGCACCTGGGTGGCTCAGTCAGGTAAGTGTCTGGCTTTGGCTCAGGTCATGACCTCGTGGTCTGTGGGTTCAAGCTCCCTGTTGGGTTCTTCACTGACAGCTCAGAGCCTGGAGCCTGCTTCAGATTCTGTGTCTCCCTCCCTCTTCCTGTTCCTCCCTCACTTGTGTGTGTGCACGCACGCTCTCTCTCTCTCTGTCTCTCTCTCTCAAAAATAAGTAAATAAACTTTAAAAAGGTGTTCCTTTTTCTTCAGTTTTTTGGAAACATTTGAGAAGGACCAGTATTCATCTTTAAATGTTTGGTAGATTTTAGCAATGAACTTATCAGGTACAGAGCTTTTCTTTGCTGGAAAACCTTTACAGATATGATCTTGTTACTGCTTTTGGTCTGTTCAGATTTTTTATTCTTCATGATTTAGTCTTGGTAGGTTTTGTGATCCTGTTTTTTTTAATTTTTTTTACTTTATTTTTGAGAGACAGAGACAGCACGAGCACGGGAAAGGCAGAGGGGGAGAGAGGGAGACACAGTATATGAAGTAGGCTCCTGGCTGTGAGCCATCAGCACAGAGCCTGACAGGGGGCTTGAAACCACAAACCGTGAGACCATAACCTAAGTCGAAGACAGACACTTCACCAACTGAGTTACCGGGCGCCCCAGTTTTGTCTTCCCTCTTGTAATTTGTGTTTCAATTTCCATGGAATGGAATTTCTTCATTTCACATAGGTTGTGCTGTTGGTTGGTGCCTGACTGTTCATAGTGCTCTCTTCCAATTATTTTTATTTCTGCAGAATCCATAATAAATGTCTCCACTTTCATTTATGATTTTAGTAATTTGAGTCTTCCCTCCTTTCTTCTTAGCCCATCTACCTAGAGGTTTGTCTATTCTGTTGATCTTTTTGAAAAGCCAACTTTTGCTTTTATTGATTATCTCTACTATTTCTCTACCCTCTGTTTATCCTCAAATCTTTATTTCCTTCTTTTGCTGACTTTGGGCTTAGTCTGTTCTTTCTGCCATTCCTTAAGTTGTAAAGTTAGGTTGATGTGAAATCTGTTTTATTTTTTAACATAAATTTTCATGTAAATTTCTGCAGCAAACCTGTTTTTGCATGTCCTGTAAGTTTTGACATGTTATATTTGCATTTGAGTCTAAGTTTTTTTTTATTTTTCTTGTGGTTATTTAAGGGTATGTGTATTTTAAGTTTCACAAGTTTGTGGGTTTTCCAGTTTTCCTTCTGTTACTAATTCCTAACTTCATCCTGTTGTGCTTGGAAAAGATACTTCATATCTATCTTTTTAAATCAATTGAGACTTAATCTGTGGCTTAAAATATGGTCTATCCTGGAAAGTGGCCCAAGTGCTCTTGAGAAGAATGAATAATCCATTTTGGTTGAGTGTTCTCTATGTCTCCCAGATTTCTTTGGTTTACTGTGTTAAGTTCCCTATTTTTTTAAAAATACATCTTCTTTCTGGTTGTTCTGTCTATTATTGAGAGTATGATATTCAAGTCTCTAAGTATCATTGAAGAAATGTGAGTTCCTTCAGTTCAGTCTATTTTGGCTTCATATGCCTTGACAGTCTGTTGTCAGGTGAATAGATGCAAATAATTGTTAAATTTTGCTGTATTGAACCTTAATATATAATGCCTCACTTTATCTTTTGTGATCTTTTTTGAAGTCTGTATGTCTGATATTAGTTTAGCTATCTCTGCTTTCTTTTGGTAACTGTTTGCATGGAATGTTTTTATCCATTCTTCCACTTTGAAATGATTTGTGTCTCTTGATCTAAAATGAATCTCTTGTATGGGGTACCTTGGGTAGTCAGTCAGTTAAGCGTCTAACTTTGGCTCAGGTCATTTTCTCATGGTTGGTGGGTTTGAGCCCCACATTGGGCTCTGTGCTGAGAGCTCAGAGCCTGGAACTTGCTTTGGATTCTGTGTCTCCCTCTCTCTCTGCCCCTCCCCTGCTTGCACTCAGTCTCTCTCTGTCTCTCTCAAAAATAAATAAACTTTAAAAATTATTAAAAAATAAAATGAATCTCTTGTAGGCAACATATGGCTGGATCCTGTATTTTATTCACTCTGTGAATTGCCATCTATTGAGAGTTAATCTGTTTACATTTAAACTAATTACTGATTAGAGACTCCTCTCATCTCGCTCCTTTTTTTCCATGTGTCTTTCAACTTTTCTGTTACTCAAGGAACCTGGGGGGCTCAGTCCTTTAAGCATCCAACTTTGGCTCAGGTCACGATCTCACAGTTCATGAGTTTGAGCCCCGCGTCGGGCTCTGTGCTGACAGCTCAGAGCCTGGAGCAGCTTTGGATTCTGTGTCTCCCTCTCTCTCTGCCCCTCCTGCTAGTACTCTGCCTCTCTCTTTCTTAAAGATAAATAAACATTAAAAACAAGTTAAAAACTAACTTTTCTGTTACTTATTGTCCGCATGACTGTCTTGTGCTTAGTTGATTTTTTTATAATGAAACATTTAAGTTCCTTTTGTACATATTCTGCAGCTTGTGGTGCAGTGACCATGGGAGGCGAGCTGCACACGCTGCAGTTGGAGAACCCTACTTTGGGTTATACTCAATTCCAGTAGCACACAAAACTGCTCCATGTCCACCTTTCTTAGTTGCTGATGTCACAAAGTTAAATCTTTATATACTGCATGACCCAAAATATGTAGTAGTAAGTCTTTTAAATGCATTTTTTAAGTCTCAAGTTATGAAGAGAAAAAAGTGGAATGTAAACTCAAAAGAACAATAACGATCATTTCGTTCAGATAATAATTGTGGGTTGTTTTTTTACCATATTAGTCTCTGAAATCATGTAGAAAATGAAAAGTGGAGTTATAAGTATTGCCACAATTATACTAGAATTTATAATTGACTTGTATTTACCTTTACTGAGATCTAAATTTATTCACATGACTCTGAGATATGTCTAGTGTCTTTCTGTTTCAATCTGCAGGACTCCCCAGAGCCTGTCTTTCATGGCAGGTCTAAATGTAATGAGTACATTAATGAGTACTTAAACATAATGAGCACCCACAACTTTTTTTTTTTTTTAATGAGGATGTCTTACTTTTTCCAAAATTAATTAGCATTGACTGCCCAGATCTTCCTCTGAAAGTTGTAAGACTTCTAACAGACTCCAGGGCTCCACATCGTCTCCTAATTTTCTGCCCACACAGTTGTTGTCTGGTTGCTATGGAGACAGTCTTCCCAGAATCCTCTCCTGCTTTTCAGTAGAATCTAAGGTGACACACCAAATAAAGTGCAATATCAAGTAAAATAACCCTTCAGATTATTTTGGAGTACAGATTTCTTTTCACTCCAGGGTGAGTGACTTTCCACAGTGCTGAGGGTGGCTTTGAGCTACCTCCTATTGTAGCTGAACAGAAACACACTGGTGATAGTACCATTTTCATGGTCTACAGAAGCTGGTGCTATAATGTTTCATCTCAATTCGATTAAGATATTTATACATGAAACTGAGATGAAGTGACATGTCTCTTGGTGATTCCACTTAATAGAAGTATAAACCGTAGTAATCCCAGAGAGATGAATAATTAGACTTTCTCTCAAATCTTTGCAAGTCTTCATTAAGCTTTTGATTAATTTGTTTGGTGAGTACCTGAGGTAAAACATGTTGTGATGTCATTTAATGAAAACCCGTATGCCTTAAATACTGAGAGGCGTACACAGAACTGGAATCATCTGGTCATAGTCTTCTTGTGGAATTCCCTTCTACCTCTTTGGTTGCACCTGTGTTTCTTGGAAATTTTGATTCAATTTCAGCCTTTAGTCACAAATGTCATTAAGTATTCAAATATAGAATGAAAATTGACTTACCAATAAACATGTTTTCCCCATAAAGGGAACTATTTAATGTCTGATTTAGTAGAAGGCCCTTGAGCATATGTTATATGTTCAATTTAAGTTTTAAAATACTGTTTAAAAGTTTAATTTGAACTCTGAAGGTTTCCGATAGATCCTGGAGAAACATTTTCACTTCAACGGGGAAGTCGTGTGGAGGACCCTTCCCTTGAGATCAGTTCCCCTCTGGGCTTGCTCACAGCACGCTGTCACACCGGTGGTGGCTCTCCCTTCCACCAGGTGTGCGGCTGCTGTGTGCCCGGGACGTGGACACTTACTTTCATGTCAGCCGGAGCAAAGCTGCTCTGGAAGGTGCATCTGCCCAAGAGAAGAGCCGAGACTCATCCTGAAAATACATACAGTTACCCTCCTCCCGCTTCCTCCACTGACTGTCTGCCCTCCCCGCTCTTTCCGGGTGGGGCATTAGAGCTTGTTGTCTGCAGGTGTTCAGAACTTATCTGGGTACAAGTCTGACTTCCTAAGAACGGGGAGTTTCCTCCCCGCGTGGGCTGGTGGTCTGTGACGTTGGCAGCTCCAAGACTGGAGCTTGGAGACGAGTCGTTTAGCTTTCCTGGTTGGGTTTTTCTTCATCTGCCTGTGCTCATGTCACCGATGAGATCTCTTTACTCACCCTCAAGACCGAGAGCGCGTTGGGGCCCCCTGGGGCGAGGTGAGAGCCCCTTCTCTGCCCTCCTGATGCTCTCCGCACCCTTTGGGAACGTGCTCACACGCCCTGAGCGCTCTCTCAGTCTCCTGCTGGGCCCCAGCTCCTGAGGTCAGAGGCTGTGTTTTATTCTTTATATTCTGAGCACCTAATTCAATGCCCAAGACATAGCATGTACTCAAATAATGCATTAGTGTTTGCTGAGCTGAGCTGAACTCTGCTCCCAAGCTGTAAGTAGTACCTGCACAGAGTACGGGTTCAGGCAAGGTTTGTTTTAGTGGCCAGTCGGGGAATGTGGCTAATTTGGTAGCTAGGATTTTGCTCATTCCTGATGCAGCAGGTGGGAGTTTGAAGACATGGTTCAGAAACCCAGCCTTGTTTCTTCTTGAAGCAAATATCATGGCCTTAACAGCAAGTGAAAAAGAGCTGTGTGTGTTCACTTCTCGAGTAATCCTGCATCACCTTGTGTGGGTTCTGTGGCGGACCCACCGCAAACCCCCTGCGGCCTGTAGCTTCTAGCCCCTGACTTCTCTCCTCTGTTGCCAGCACCACTCAGGGTGCTTTTCCCAGGGATTTAGGTGGGTCTCCCTGAGTATGTGGGTGCTTGCTCCAGCCCCCCACCCAGTTCAGCTCCAGGGGACATCGGCTTCACGTTAACTCTAAACGTGTTTCAAACCACAAACTTGGGGAAGTTTTCCTTTTCTTCTTAGGCTTGATTGGCTAGAAGGCTTCTGTGAGAAAACTGGTTTTATTATATATATTTTGTGCTGTTTTACAGTAACTCCCATCACACGGGAGCCCTCTTACCGTCACCTCAGTGATGCAGGGAGACGGGAGCTTGGCTGTCGTCACATGACTAGCGCATCTCGCTGTCCCCAGCTGGGTCTGGCTTGAAGCTGTGTGACCTTAGGCGAACTACCTTCTCTGAACCTGGTCATTGACTTGGGACATTCATCCATGCACCCTGCCAGCCCTCCTGCGTGACAGGCGTGTGCTGAGCGCACACCTCCCAGGGGCCGTGAGGAGCGGTGTCTCCCCGCCTTCCTCCCTGGGCTGCGGGACCCCAGGAGACCCTGTGGTGCTCACCTCCTCTTGGGGTGAGGCGGGGTCCAGGGAGGGGGCAGGAAGGTTGGCGTGCGGTTTAATCATGGAAAATGGGAAGCCTGATAGGAGTGGAGCCACCCCCTCCTCACAGGGCCGGAGCTTGGCTACAGCCGTCCCTTCTTGAAACCCCCTTTGGGCACTGGGTGTTGGCCGCGTGGACTGAAGGCGGCCTTGCTGTCTTGCAGATGTGCCACGCAGCCACCAGTGCCTTCTGCCGCTCCATCAAGCTGCAGTGTGAGCTCTACCCCTCTAGAGAAGTGGCCATCTGCTTGGACCCTTACTGTGGACTTGGGTTTGTCCTGTGGTGCCTCTGTAGGTGAGTATCCTCCTTAGTATCTTTAAAAGGATGAAGAGTCAGCCATGCACCCCCTTTCTAGACCGTTTGCAGAGTAGACGCTGACATCTGGGGAGGGCTCCCACCTCTAGGGTGCCGGCTGCAAAGTGCTCCAGGTGGCCCCCGCCCCAGCCCTGCACGGATCCCACACCCCACGGCGTCTGGAGAGCGTCGTCTCTGTGAACTCTGCTGACACTCGCAGAGATGACAGACTCTGGGCACATTCTGGGAGGCTGCCTGGTAAGGACCCCTGTTTTCCAAGTGCAGGACTCCAGCCTGAGGCTTTGGTTCTTTGCCTTAAGATCCTAGCAGTTAACCCTGGTCTGGAGCTTGCATTAAATTGGCAGGTGGAAGCTCAGGCTCGCTCTTCTTCAGGCTTGTCCCTGACGTGGGTGGGGAGGAACATCCGTGAGCATTCTGCTTGCCTCCAGCCATGGTCACTGGCCCCCAGCCAGCAGCCACCCAGTGCCCAGCCCGGAGCAGGGCCAGCAGGTGGGGTGAACGTACGGAAGTTTATGGGCATTTGGTCTGACTATGCGTATGTGTTCCCTGTAGAAACTTTAGAAAATATGAAATAACATAAAGGCCTCAGTAATCATGCCACCTAGTGATCCCTATTAACAGTCACTATTAGCATTTTGGTACATGGCCTCCCAGAGTCTGGTTTCTGATGTAGCAAACTATGTTTTTATCGTTAACACTTTGAAATCTTTAAGTATGTGAAGGCATGATAAGTACCAGTGCCCCTCCTCCCGCTCCTCATGGACCATCGCGTGGCCACTTTTGTTTCGTGTCCCCTTCCAGTTTTTAGTGCCGTCACCAGACAACATGTTTTCACCATAACCTTTAAGTAGGCATACAGTTTTGTAAGCGTGGATTAATAAAGATAAAAAACGGAGATGCAACAGTATGAAAGTGGTTAGGACTTCCTTTTTCCTAGCAGACACTCTCCAGTGTCTTTAAATGCACTCCTCAAACAATTATTCTGATACATTCATAATATTTAAAAATAGTAAGTTGGATTAAAATCCAATCCTATATCGGGGCACCTGAGTGGCTCAGTCTGTTAAGCGTCCGACTTTGGCTCAGGTCATGATCTCGCGGTTCGTGGGTTCGAGCCCCGTGTCAGGCTCCATGCTGACAGCTCAGAGCCTGGAGCCTCTTTCAGATTCTGTGTCTCCCTCTCTCTCTGACCCTCCCCTGCTCACACTGTCTCTTTCTCAGAAATAAATAAAACATTAAAAAAAAAAATCCAATCCTATATTTTTGAAAAACACATTCCAATTAGAACAGGTAAAGTTTTGGAGAGAGCAAACAGAATTAAAATATTTAATGATTTTTGCCCCACTGTAAAATGCAGTAGCATTGTGGGTAGCTTTTCCTCTTGGGAAATAGGTAAATAGTTCAGAATATGGTATTCCAGCAGTAGAGCCAAGTGGCTGTAGACACACTTGGCCAGCTGGGGAGGAACCCCACCCCAGCCTACTGACTTTATAGGAGACTGGGTGTCTGTCTGTCTGCGTGTCACTTGGCAAAGGTGCCGGTAAAGCTGAAGCCGGCGATGGAGGGCTTCGCCAGCGCCCACGCACCAACACGGGAAAGTCATGTGCTCGCTAGTAGCAGTGAGGGCATGGTGAGGGCTCTTTAAAGGAGTCATAAGGAACCTTTACCTAATGAACCCCTTTCCTGCAAAGTCATTCAGCAGTCACAGAATCGCAGTGTTCGCTTCATGGGCCCTGCAACCCTGGAAATCAATATACCACAGCCACAGGCTTCTTCCTTGTGAGGTCCTCTGTAGAAACAGATCCCAACAGACCTGCTTAAAAACCAGACTGGAAGCATCCAGCCCAGTGGTGAGGAGCACACCCGGCACCTGTGAGTACCGCGACGACGGTTTCCTCTTCGATGAGCTGGCGTCCCCTCAGGAAATGAACGGGATGACCCTGGGTGTCATTTTGTTCAAGAAAGCGCTTACAGCAGGACGGTGACGTGACCTTCAGAGAGGCTCCCACGGGCCAAGTTGGGGGGATTTCAGCATCAAAATAAAGATTAAGATAGATGATAATGCTTCAAATAAGATAGAAAGTTATCTCACTATCAGACAAACAGATGAGCAGATTAAAAGCTCAATTGCTAGAGTAGATGTCTAGGAAACAGTAGTTAATTTTAAAGGGAAGGAGAGAAACCTTCACGGTGGACTCGGGGCAGGGGTGTGTCACCCAGAGGGCTACAGCATGAAGAACAGCGTAACGTCTGGGGTCTTCCTGACAAAGATACTTCACTGACTCCAAACCAGGGAGCATCAGACTGACTGAGGAGGGATGTAAAGCAGCACACGATGCCCGTGTCACAGAGGCCCTGAGGACCCCACCCCCGGCAGGCAGGCTGATGGCATCTCTGGCCTTCTCTCCCAACGGGCTCTTTTAAAAGACACCATTAGAACTGGCAAAACTGATGAAGGTCCCAGAATTAGGTGGAAGAAATGTATCTTTTTCCTGATTCTGATGCTTTAATCAGCTTTGGAGGAAAATAAACTTGTTTATTAGAAGTACCTGCCGAAGTATTTGGGGTTAATGGGGCATCAAGTCACTGACTCACCCTCAAATGATTCAAGAGGAGAAAAAGTTATTTCTATTCAAAAATTTTCTGTAACTTTGGATTGTTTTAACATTTTCAAGATGTTGAGTGAAACAATATTTTTGTCTTCATCCTTAAAGTTCCCTTCAGTCACAAAATAGAGGATTATATATCTCAGAATCAAGATATAACAGAGTTGTTTCAAAATATTCATGTGTTTGTTGATTTGGAGAGAGGGAAAGAGAGTGCGTGCAAGCAGGGAAGGTGAGGGGCAGAGAGAGAGAGAGAAATCCCAAGCAGGCCCTACACTGTCAGTGTGGAGCCTGATGCGGGGCTCAAACTCATGAACCGTGAGATCATGACCGAAGCTGAAATCAAGAGTCATACACTTAACTGACTGAGCCACCCAGGTGCCTCTTGTTTCAAAATATTTTTAAGATCAAATGAGTCTTAAAAAGCATTCAGATAGTTGATATTCATGGATTAAAAGTTGCAGTATTGTTCAAATGGAAATTCTTTGCAAATAGGTCTAGAGATTTGATGAACTTCCTGTCAAAAATCTCAGCACATTTTTTATTTTTGCAGAAACAGACAATGTTATCCTAAAATCTTACTAAAGGAAGAACCCACAATATCCAAAACAATTTTGGAATAGAACAACGAAGTTGGAAAACTCAGACTTGTCATTTTCACCCCTCATTATAGTAGCCAGGAGAGTGTTATACTGGCATAAAGTTAGGTGTAGGAAGGTAGATAAAGAAAAAATAGCCAATGAAACAAAATTGAGAGTCCAAAAATAGCCCTTTTACGCATAGTCACTTCATTTTTCAACAAAGGCAGTTCAGTGATGAAAGGGTAGTATTTTCAACAAATGATATTTGGGAATATTGTACGTTCACCTGCAAAAAGATTATTTAAACTTTTATTTTGCATCATATAAGTAAATTCAAAGTAGGTTGCAGACATTAATGTAAAAACTAAAACTTTTGGAAGAAGATGAGTAAATCAGTAAATCTTTAAAATCTCAAGCTAGAGTCCTTAGATATGTTACAGTATGTAGAAGAAATGTTGATAAATGTGGCTTCAGTAAAATTAAATACTTGAGCACATCAAATGACACTTAATAGAAAGTTGGAAAGACAGACCACACACCGAGGGAACGTATTTGCAAATCATAACCTGATACAGTCCCTCCAAACGGATGTAAAGCCAACTCTTAAACCTCAAGAAGACATGCAACATGATTTAAAAACAGGCAACAGAATAGATACTGTTGAATTGAATAGCTATTTCACCAAACATACAAAAATGATGCTAAGCACATGAAAAGATGCTTAACATTCATTAGGAAAATGCAAATTAAAACCCCTGAACTGACCCCTCACAGCCACTGGAGCAGATACAACCACAAACCCCAGAAAATAAAAAGGTACGCGAGCTTACAGTTTCCGCTTTCAGAACCACACTGCAGAGCAACAGTCCCCAGCGGTGTTCACAAACTGGAATTCTCCTGTGTTGTTGATGGGAATGGAAAATGGTGAAATTTTTCAGTTTGGCGTGCTCTTAAAAATTAAACATAAATTCACCACAGGACCCAGCAATTCCACTCCTAGGCATCTACCAAAGAGAAGGAAAAACACACAGACTTGATGTCTGTAGCAGCCTTCATAGAAAAGAGAAAGAAGAAGTGGCGCACACGCCCCAGCTGGTGGGTGGACAGTGTTTGTCGTATCCTGCGATACGTATCCACACTCCGAAGCCAGACTCAAAATACCACACGATTGTATCGTATGACACCATTTATGTGAAATGTCTGGAAAAGACAAGTCTGTGGAGACAGAAAGTGGGACAGTGGTCAGCTGGGACTGGGGTCAAAGAGCAGTGGAGCCAGGTGGACTCAAGCCACATGTGTGTGTGATGGAAGCGTTCTCGAACTGCGTTGTGATGACGATTATACAACTCTGCAAGTTTAGTAAAGTCCTTGCAATTTTCTGCTTCAAGTGGGTGGATTTGTGGTACGTGCTCTATACCTAAGTGAAACTGTTTAAAAAAGAAGACATCCCGTCATCAGGGTAACTGAAGAGCACAAAACAGTAGCTCACAGGGTGCTGTGTGTCATCACACCTCGCGTCTGCCTTGCTCTGAGTGCCTGAGCTCTGATAGCTGACTGAGCCCCCCGCCTACTTTTTTTTAAACTAACTTTTTTTAATCCCCATGTGTCTTTTTAATTATCTTGTTCTATTTGAAGTTCAGATCTAAACTAGAATAGTTCAGGTTCCAGAAATTCTCAAAAGATAAACGTCTTCAGTATAAGCAAGTAGGTCTGCTCCGGAAGTGTTTGTAGCCAGTGCCAAGACGTCAGTGCTAGCTAGTAAGTGAAACTTGGTCAGCATTTGCTGGACTGAGCAAAGAAAGGGCGAATAGAAAATTCATGAATAGGGTTTCCTGTTTGTCCTCTAGTATCAAGATTTGGTCAATTTTTTCTTGATGTTGACTTCCATCCTACTTGTGGAAATGAGGAGAAAGGTGAACTGTACCTAATTTTCACAAATGTGCTTGACATTCTCTAGCCTTGAATTCTGCACAGGGAACCCCAGCCCTTTCACGTGTGAACGGTTCAGAGGAAGCAGATCACTATCCTGATGTATATTCTCGAGAAAGGTAGTCGTGGGTGCTTTGTATTTAGCTTTCTGCATTTTGAATCTCCCTACGATAGTATTTGTAAAATAAAACCTTGGGAACAATATGGAAATGATAAATTGTCATCGTTAAGACGAATATCATCATAAGGTTTTACCTGCTTTGTGATTTCCTAAGACGTGTGGCTCACATGTCACTGACCATGTTTAGAACCCAGCACTGAAAACATGAAAGTCCTTGCTGAGAAACAGCAACCATGTAAATTTGAGCTGCAGTAAAAATCATGCAGGGAAATCTGCTTGGGTTGTATTATTAAGCCTGATTCATGAACAGGTTGAATAACGTTTGCTGTTAACAGAAAACTGTGCCCCATCACTTCTCAAAGAAGTGATATGCTTGCTTCCTAGCGGATAATTAGGATTTATGAAGTTCATAACATGCAGGCTCACTAGATCTTGGGCTGTTGGCTGGTATATGATCCTATATTTGATCCCAGTTTTGCCCCTGAGATTGTTCTTTTAATGTTCATTTCCTGGAGGTACATTTTCCGTTATTTTTATTTCTTCCTGCTTCATGCTGCCTGGAGGTTTTTGACAGGAATTAACACATTAGCTCCCAAGAAAGGCTGTAATTCAGAGAATGGCAGGTGCGTGTGAATGGATTCTGGAGCGCTGTTGTACAAGGGACAGAAAGCAAGACTGTGCCCACAGCTGCAGAACAAAACATCACTTTCCATTAAGTCGGGCCAGTTGGGAATACCCTCCTCCTATGTGCCCACATTTTCAGGGGCTTCCTGCCTTTAGGAAAGGATCTTGGCAGCAGAGAGGAGAGCGTTGTGTCTCCTAGCTTCTGGGAAAACATCTCTAAGAATGGGCGGTGGTATCAGTGGCCTTTAGATGTATTAGTACAGCTGGGGGGGGGGGGGGCATTTGGTGGGTGTCACACCCCAAGTGTGTAATTCTTGGAAGGTTACTTTGGAAATAACATGCTAGGCCCCAAAAGTGAGAACACAAATAAGACATGCCAACTTCCTAAACCAGAGAGAAGCTCTCATTTTAAAGAACCTCGGTCCTGGTTATTAAACTCCTGGAAAAGCTTGTTTTCACAGACTGCAGACTCTAGGCCGCACTTGTTCAGAAATGTGTGATGGGATAGCAGACAACTTGTACGCAGCTGCAGGAACAGGCTGCCAGGACTTTGTAACACTAATAGACTGGTTGTCATGTTATGTGATCTCCTGAGTAATATATTAAATGATCTTTAATGACCTAAGTTAATTTCTCAAGGACAAAACTTACAGAAATCCTGATGGAATTTGGAATCAATCGCCAGAACTGGGTCTTCAGTGATTTTGATACATTGACTAGAAAAGTAACTTACTGCACCTTAACTAGGGATCCACTCCGTGTGCCCCTCTGGGTCACCACGCACCCAGCAAAACGTCCCTGTCAGCAGGATTTCAAAGGAAGTTTGAAAAGTTGTGGGTATGATACTCTTCTCCTCACTACTAAGAACAATAGTGTGTCCTCAGAGCTCTTTAAATTTCGTCTAAAATCAGCTCGGAACTGGTTCTGATTCTAGTCCGAGTTTTGATTAACCCTTTAAATACAGGGTGTCTATTCATTCTCAGACTTACTCAGGAGGATTGAGAAAGATCTGAACATTCTCATTAATAAACTTACCTCTTAAAAATTAGCTTCCACTTGGGGCGCCTGGGTAGCTCAGTCGGTTGAGCGACCAACTCTTGTATTGTCTTGAGTCATGATTCCAGGGTCGTGGGCTGAAGCCTGGAGTCAGGCTGTGTGCTTGCGACTCTCTCTGCCCTCTCCCCCAAGTGCTCTTTGTCTGTCTGTCTCTCTCTCAAAAAAAAAAAAAAATAGCTCCTACTTGATTATCAAACCTCCTTCCTCAGATAATACTTAAGCTGTCTCCCCACACGCTGGTTGTTGATTGATGTTGTGATAAGTAGTTCTCCATTATTAGAAGGACCTGAAGTACTCCCAACTTCTGGCAGTTTGTCATCTTGATAAGAAACATATGATTGGATGTTTCCAGGTTAGGAGTTGTGTGTGTGTGCGTATGTGTTACACTCTATAGAAATGAATGAGCGTCCTAGAAAATCATCAAGGGCCAGTCCCACTTACGTGCGCAGCCCGTGCCGGGACTTTGGTGTGTGAGTTTGCTTCTCCACACAGATGTCGCTGTGTTCAGAAGTGGTTACATATCCTGTCCTCCTGTAAGGAGGGGCTCTAGACCCACATCTTAGATGTAAGCTTTGTGGGTTCTACCTTGAGAGCCCATCTGTCAGCAAACCCGTTTCATTGGTCTAAAAAGACTGTAGTCTTCATAAAATGTTCCAAATTGGCAATGTATGACCTCTGAAAGCCGTCAGGGGTTGGCATTAGCAGCAGAAAGGTGCGTGTGGGGGTCACACCTGTGAAGGTGGAGAGGTCACAGGTCAAGGTGGGGGGTCCTGCCGTCCCGAGCGCTGGCAGCTGCCGGGCAGCCCCTCGGCCGTCACATGACGTCACAGCAGGTCCATCTGAGGGGTACGTAGCAGTGGGTAAGGCACTTCCTGAAGCAGAAACAGGGTCGGTAAGTAGTACTGATTCTAATGCATCCAAAGAGCATATCTTATATCTTGCTTGTGATTTTCACTTGCTCTGCTGGCACCCCAGCCGTGGGAGGGGGTCCATAGCTCCTGATGTGGGGTTTCCTCCACGCACTTACTCTCTCGAGTCAGGATTTGTTCCTCCCTGGAAGAAGTACTCTCATTTAATAGGAAAGATTGGTTTTCGTGGGACTTTGTTACTCACCAAAGTAAGAGTGGCAGTTGACTGAGCTTGGAGATGCTGGAGTGTGGTTACTACAGCGCGTGTGCACACAGTGAGGGGCGTACAGTTGTTGAAGTGTGGTAGTGCTTTCTTTGACTTTTTCTGCTACTTATTCCTAGAGGATCAGGTTAAGTAACATTGTCAGCTTATATGTTAATGTTGAGTAATAAAAGAGAAAGCCATGTAGCATTACAGTGTCCTCTGTCTCAGCAGCGCGTGTGTACATATGAATTACTGCTGGATGACTCTCACACTTCTTGAATTTTGGTTTCAACATGGAGGGGTTTAAGATTTCTCAGTCAGGAAGCCAATTGAAAACTAAATGGACGAGGCTCCTGGAGGCTCAGTCAGTGGAGTGTGTGACTCTTGATCTCAGGGTCATGAGTTCAAGCCCCACACTGGGCCTAGAGATGGCTTAGAAAGAATGGACAAAGGACTTGATTAGACACTCTGCCGAAGAAAGCATACAGTTTTATAAATCCAACGCGGTGTTTCTTACGTTTTGCTAATGTAGCAGCTTGGAGAGACATAGAACAGCCTCTCAGCTTTTACATTTTCAGATGAGCGCTCAACCATGATTCCTATAGTTTTTTTGTGCTTTCACAAGTTTTCATGAACATGCTTTCATTTTTATTTGCAAACCTGGAGGGCTGCGGGTGTGTCTGAGGCCCCTCCTCACTCGGCCCCTCCGTCTCTCTCTGCAGCGTGTACTCTGGGCACCAGTCCATTCTCATCCCGCCTTCTGAGCTGGAAACCAACCCTGCCTTGTGGCTTCTTGCCGTGAGTCAGTACAAAGTCCGGGACACGTTCTGCTCCTATTCAGTGATGGAACTTTGTACCAAGGGGCTGGGCTCGCAGACAGAATCGCTCAAGGTAAGCAGCCTGTCGGCCAGCGTCCGTGCTGTGGGGGCAGCCGCCAGGGAAGCTCGCTGCCTGAGGGCTCGGGAGGGGTTTGCCGGTGCTAAGATAAGCGTTCACAGAAACCGAGGTATAGTCCGCCGTCACCGGAAGCTTACAAAACTGATTTCGTGTGGAAACCATACTTTATAAGATGAATAATTCCCCACTGCCACACAGAGTTCTAGGTCAGGGTGTGCGCCACTGATGTCCGCGATTCCGTTAGGTCCGCCCACAGAGCCCTAAACTGCTTTTTATTCTGGTGGTGAATTCACTTGTTCAGTGGAGTTAATTTTACTGTGATGCTAGTGTTCAAGTGGTAAATTTGAATTTAGCTGTTCATTTTTGTTTTCCTTGAAGCCCCTGATTTATAGATGTGCATCCTAATCCAAATGTTAGCATTTCCCTCCACTTAAACCAGTAACATTTTGATAGACATATTTTCATGAAGTAGTCATTATCCAAGTAAGGAGGAGAGAATAATCATACACCTGTTTTGATTTATATTCCGATATTATCCATTGTTTATATCTTTGTGTATATATGGATTATATGTACGTGTGTGTATGTGTGCATACATAAATTGTACACATACAAATAGTTAAGCAATGCATTTATATCCTGAGTTTTGTTTTCCTATTTAGACCTAATGATTAAGCTTGAACAAGAAAAAAAAATGTAAGATAACATTGATGTTAAGTTATGTAAATAAATGTATAATTTCTTGAAATTATAAATATAGGAAAAGAAATTCATAAGATGTAATTATCGCTTACATCCACCTATATTATTTTATCAAATGATGGAGTACCTTTCACGAATAGTGACATAATTGAGTGCTTTCTAAGCACTTTACATATCGATTCATCTAACCCTTTACCAGGGGTGTCTGAGAGAGAAACTACTATTGTCTCCGTCTTAACTATGAGGACACTTACGTTACAGAGAAATTAAGCACCCTTTCCAGGTTCTTACACTTAGATGTGTTGGAGCCCTGTTTTGAATCTCCGGCTCCACCCAGGTCCACCGACCCAAGACCCAGGCTGCACTGCGCCCCGAACACACACGTGTGTGAACGGACTATGGGTTCATCCAGTTGTAATGTTTTCTGTGCGATTTGTGTCAGTGAGGTCACATGTGTGTGCGAGCTCCGGTGCCGGAGTGACCCGAGCGTGTCTTCTGCACTGTTCTCTAGTCACTGCACGCAAGCCACGGTGCAGGGAGGGGGCCGAGAAGGCTGCGTGGTCCTGCCTGTGCCGGACGCCCTCCCGCCCCTCGTGCTCTGCTGGAGACGTCACTCGCCACCCGCCTCCTGTCTACGTGCAGCTCCTTCCTCCCCGGGGCCCCCAGCCCAGCTGGGAAGCACCCTCTGCACAGAGTCCGGTGCTCCCCTCTTGGGGGGCCCTCCTCTGAGTCCGTTGACTGAATTCAGCACAGAACTGAGGTGTGATCAGTCAGTGTAACCTTTTAAGTCTCAGGGGACTTAGAAGGAATGAGTCTTTTCCATTCTTATATTAAAAACCGCATGTCTCCCTTCCGTGCAGTGCGTGCTCTTGTGTATCCGCGTTCGTAGGCGCGCATCCAGATGCTTCCTTGTGTCCGCACGCCCTGTCCCTTAGTTACTTTATCCAGGACCTTGCTTCTCCTCGCCGTGGCCCCTGCTGCTGCCTCTTGCTGGTACATTAGATCTGTTTGTAATGGTGTCTTTGATGGTCGGATACCTGTGTGATTGCTTTTTCCACACAGACTTCCAAGAACAGCTTAATTAATGATGTGGACACCGAGCTCTGGGAATGAGTATCTGTGTGGAGCTGACGTGGCTTCCACCCCCCTGGTTAAGGGGGTCACGCCCTTGAGCCCCGGAAGGCTGACCTCTCACCGCTGTCCTTGTTTCTAGGCACGAGGACTGGACTTGTCCCGCGTGCGGACGTGTGTGGTCGTGGCAGAAGAGCGGCCGCGGATAGCGCTCACCCAGTCTTTCTCAAAGCTCTTTAAAGACCTGGGTCTCCACCCGCGGGCCGTGAGCACCTCCTTTGGCTGCAGAGTGAACCTGGCCATCTGCTTGCAGGTGGGTTCATGGCTCCCTAAGGGCCCCAGTCAGAGTAACTTGTAAATGACAGGCACACAGCATAGTGGGCGTGGAGAAGACACATTTTAATCACATGCATGTGATGGATGCACACTTGTTTGGTTTCTTTTCTTTTTCTTATTTTCCACTCTGCATTTGTCAGTAAACTCATAACTAGCATATATAGAACTCACTCTGTCCTGAAACAGTTTAATTTCTGTAACATGAGTAGCAGTTGGCCCAGACCCCTGATGTCAGGCTTTGTAAAGATGCCGTAGTAGACACATGTTTCACTGTGGCGAGAAATCCTGTCTCTCAAAGCCCTTGGTCCCCTGTACAGACAATACCTTCTGTAGGAAGAATGCCGAGTTCTTTAGCAAACATGAGGTATGCTGCCATGAGAGCAGTCTGGAAACGATCATTGTGATGATTTGCTGCATTTCTATGGCTTAGGTGTGAGGCAGCCCTCGTAAGATATTCTCACACTAACTGTGGCCAAAAGCCCACTTGTGACCATCTTCACTATTCCCTTCTTTTCTTTTCATTTTTGAACCCTAACACTAGCACCCCGTCCGTGGAGTTTCTGTGCCGGGTCAGGGAAGCCGCGTAGCACTGTCCCGGGGCGCAGCTGCGGACTTTGTTCCTAGAACATAGTGAGAGGACAGGATCTCCAGTCACGGCGGGTGTGGAGCAGGGCACACGTCTCCCGCTCTCCCATCCCGCCCCCCCACTGTCCCGCATTTCTGGCTCTGCGACCTCGGAAAGCTCCAGGGGGAGTGGGGGGGCGTGTCCTCACCGGCACTCTGGGTGCTGGGACCTGCCCTGGACGTTGGCCAAGGGGGGGCCTCTTACCATATGACCAGGTCTGATGTGATTGCTTCAGAAACATTAGCTGCAGAAGAGTTTTTTCATTTTTAATTTTCTACTACATCTGGAGGGGCTTTGCTGCCAGCGGCATGGTGCTGTTCTAGAATCTTGGCAGCATCTTTAAACATTTTTGTACGTTTTATGTTTTTTTCCCACTTGTTTGCTTTATTCTCAACTCATTTTCAGCCATTTTTCCTTTTTCTGAATGGTTAGCATTAGCGGAAGGGTCTGTCAGTAGAGACCAAGTGCGTCCTGAAAAGCAGGGCAGGCTCGCAGTCCCTTGCCCAAGTGCTTGGGGCCCGGTTATGTTTTAGGCTGAAGGGGGTTTCTGGCTTTGCAGAGGCAGCGCCCCGTCGTCACACACAGCAGTGGCCCCGCAGCTCGAGGGCCCGTGTGGCAAGCAGCCTTGTGTCACCCGAGTCAGACTGTACCCTCATCGGGCGTTTCCCTGTAGTCAGTGAGGGACAGTGAGTGAGTAAAACACTCCCGTAAAAGTGAGCAGGATAGGAGGGGAGGAGGCACTGGGCACGGGGGCCAGAGAAGGCTGCCCAGCGGTCGGCATCTCGGCGGAGTTGGCCCGGGAAGGGGAGGCAGCAGCCTGCAGCAGTGCTGCTCGGGGGCGTTAGTTTTCCGTGAATCGTAGCCCACGACCCAGCAGGCGCGGTGCGGGCACCGGGCAGAGCAGGCAGGGCACGCAGCCCGCATGGACACCCGCGGCGCCCGCTCCCCGCGGGAGGACCCGACCCGCGGGTGCCTGACCGGATTTCCCACGGGTAAGGACGACACTGAAGTCCGCGTGTGCACACACACAAGGGAGATGACCTGAACGTTCCGGAATTTCTTACAGATTGAGTATTTTTATAAAGGAGCATTTCAGAAAACAAACCAGAAAATACGGATTAGCCAGTAAATAAATAACTAAACCCGTAATTCCATCTACCCAGAAGTAATACCGTTAATCCCTTGATGTAAAACTATCAAAAGCACCAAAAGCTCTAATACTCCCTCAGTTCCAGATAGCGTACCTAAATGTGTGAAGGCGCTGGACATGTTTTCCCTCGAGCACAGCTAGCAGAACTGTAGAACCCGTGAAATCGCGGAGCGGAACTTCCTGTTTTCCGCTGATGGTTGCTTTCTGGCAGTGCTTCCTCAGGAGGGTTGCTGGCCGTCCTCACTGCGGGGCTGTGATTTGGCTCCGTGTCCTCTAGGCCAGCCCTGGTCCCGGTGGGGAGGGGCCTCCAGGTGGCCGGGTGCCTCGTGGGTCCCCACAGACGCTGTGCGGACGGGGCGGGGCCTCCGCCCTGCGAGCACAGGCCGTGTACCGGGGGGACGGTGTCACGGGCCCACCCGCTGCTCTCCAGGGGCTCCCTGGTCTTCCAGGAAGGCTGAGTTACACGGTGGACAGGTTTTTAGGACCGCAGAATAGAATAGGGGATCGTTTTTACTTTGCAAAAATGGTTTCCACGGTCGGCGCTCTGACTCTGCTGTCATCCAGCCCCAGGCATCCCTCGCAGCTCTGTGCAATTTCACACTAAAGGCCGTTCTCCACTGTAGCGCCTTTGATGGTCTGACTCGCTGGTACCGTGACTCGGGCCGTCCGCGGCCTCAGCTGCTTCGGCCGTCTTCACGTGGCAAAAGCCCGCTCTCCTTCCAAGGGCCCCTGAGTCCTCGAGCTGGGAGTTTTTTCCTTGCTCTGACCCCCTGCGGCGCTTCATCCCGCACACCTGACGCCTCCTGCCGCGGCTTTTCCCTGTCTCTCTAAGCAGCTCCTGAGCCTGCAGCCGGTGAGGGACTCGGCCCCGCACAGCCTCTCGTGTGGCCGCACAGCTGATGCTCAGAGCTGAGTCAGCCTTCTCAACCCGAATTGATCCCTTTAGCTGCAGATACCATTCACTTCGGGGAAAGTAGGCACAGTCTCTTCAGAGTCCAGCCTGCCATGTAAAGCAGGTCCGTGAATCTCCTCCACATGAGCCCATGGTACGAATGTCCATCAGTCAAAGCTGTGGCCTCAAGGTAGCTCTCCCTTCCAGCGAGAGTCAAGGGTTCTCTGCTCTTGAGCGTTGTTAGCTCAGGCCGCGGGTCCAGGCCTGCACCTCAGGAGAGCAGGCGTTCACCCTCAGGACACAAGCATTCACTGACCAGAGTTTCGGGCCCTGAGGTCCCAGGTAGCATCTGTTTGGATCTCCCCACACCTCGCTGGGGGTAGGTTCATTGTTTTGTGTTCAGATGGAGGAAACAGGCTCGGACAAGTTAAGTGAACGTCCCCCATCGACCAAGCAGGGAGGGAGAGACAGAGCCTTCACTGCTCACGGGCCACGTGCTCCAGGCAGGGGCGGACAGTGGGCAGCAGAACCTGAATTGTTTCTAATGGTGTCGTCCTCTCTAGCGTTTAAGTCAGACCCACTGTTTTGTGTGACCTAAATCCGGCACCGTGAAAGCCGTGCGTCTGTGGGTAGGAGGCTGCTGAGGGAAGCATCCTGTCTGTTGCTCTGGAGGTGGAGGGTCTGCAGGGAAGGCATCTGGACAGCTCGGAGCAGTGCCGGCTGCGTGCTCGTGCTGCTGCATGAAGCCCTGGTTTAAGGGAGAATCACGAAGATGGACAGATGTATCATTGTCAAATATGCAAATGGACAAGTATAAAAACTTTCAGTGTGAGACCATCATAAAAATAGATACAATTATTTGTGTGGTGCTGTTGACTCAGTTCTTCTATCTCAGAAGCCAAGTGATTTATTTACCCACTTGACGTTCCACGGTGGGAACTGCCCATCCCCCCCCGAGCTCCAGGTCCTAGCTCGGCGGTGGCAGAATGGACTCATTGAATGAAGTGTGGCTGCCTTGGATTTTATGTCAAATACTCGTGTATTGTAGACTCTGCACAAGAAAGAAGTGCAGAAGTATGTGCCATTTTTTATACTTAGAAATGAAATTTCCTAGAATCTTTAGCCATAAAAATGACTTTAAAACAATCTGTATTTGTTAAATCTATGACAAAAATGGACATTAGGTCAAGTTATGACTTCTGAGTTTAACTGACTCTGACATAAATTCCCTTAGTGACACTTAAGAAGTGTCACGTGCCGTTAACATCTGTGGAGAAAGATACCACCGACAGCCACAGTGACTCCTGTCAGAAGTATAAGCTGCAAGGTCCTTGGTTGTAGTCAGTTAGGAGCTTTGGCTCACCCCGTACCAGAAACCGGAGAATTCTCCTCTCCAGCAGAGGAAGGAAGGGAAAATGAGGTTGTCTTTTTTCTAAAATTTTAAAGTGACTGCAAGCAGAAACTTTGATCTTTATTATATTATAGAAAAATAACAATTACGTTATCTGGGAGGAAAGCTCATTATAAATAGCTGTGTGGAGCTAAATCAATAGTAACAGTTCTAGCCAACCTTAAATCTTAAAGCTCACAAATGCAGGAGAAACATATCCACTCTGATAATGAAAAGTGAAGTCATTGTTGGAAAGAAAAAAAAACCAGGAAGCTCAGAGGCCTATATAAATCTTAAGTAATTCTCACAGTAAAATTAATAGTTATGATACCTTCATTAATTTAAGCTCTCAATTCATTGTTCCCCCTTATTCAATTCATTTGTTCCAGTGCTTATAGATGGAACAAAATAAAAATAAATGAGGTGCCATGGGGGGCTGTACACTCCCCAGAATTAGTCATATTCAGCGGAAACTCGCACACGTTTTCCTGCTGATCTGTGTTGTCCCGGATCATGAAAATGAACATTGGAGATCACGGACCTGCATCTCCGTTACCAGTATACCAGTCAGCGTTCTGATTTGTGAGCAGCAGGAATCTTCTTTGGCAATTTAAATGGAAAGGCTTTTACCAAGACCCCACGGGTCATGCTCCGAAGCCTCTCAGGAGCTCCAGGCCCCGGGTCGGGACTGTGCACCCGGGAACAGCTCGTGCCCCAGCGGTGTTCCTGGGAGGACGCTGGTGTTGTAAACTGCACCACCGGCCGGCTGGTCCTGGATGCCAGCCCCACTTCCGGCACACACGCAGGGCCTGGGGCGTGTCACGGACCCTCCACCACCACAAGTGGGAGCGTGGGCTTCGGAGCCATGAGTGGACGCAGTGACCTGGTCACATGCTGGCTTCTGGGCTGTGGGGAGCACG